AAAAATATAAATCCTTTAACATCTAATATTGATTATATAGTTTTATAAATACAAAATATTAATGTTTTTTATAAAATTCAATGATTTTTTGTTCATTTGTTATAAAGACATAATAAATATATTTACAAAAATAAAACAAATATATTTACAAAAAAATACAAATATGATTATCTAATTTATAATGGCTATTTATAAGAAATAAACTATGTAAATTAATATGTCTAATATAACTATTTACTTTTATTTTTCTTTAAATTTATAAATTATTCGTAATATAATAAATAACATTATATACTACATATTTTTAAAATAATAGCAATATATATAGACTCAAAATAAGATATTAACGTTAATTTAAAAAGGAAACCTAAATTATTATCCTACTTAAAAAGAATATAGTAAGCTTAATAATCTTATTAAAAGAAACTTAAAAACTTAATTTTGTATTTACATAGTAAAAATAAAAACTATATAGTGTATTTTATATATAATTTGTTTCTAATAATTGATATTGTGAAAGCCTTTATATAATAGAATTTTATATATAAGTTAAATTAATCATAAATTTAATAATTAAAAATCAATACTGTTTGAGGTGGTCTTTGACTTGGTTGTGGATATACTGGTGGTACAACAGAAGGCCTTTGCATTGGCCATTGTTGTTGATAAGATTCTGGTCCAATGGAAGAATAACTACTATGAAATCGATGAACCGGGCTGGATGCTTGAAGCAACTGATTTAATGTAGGAGTTGGTCCAGTCGTTTGTGATATACTTTGCCCAGACAAAAATCTTGGTTGCCCTGGAAATGGTACTGAGCCAGGAGCCGAGTGACTATGTCTGGATTCCATTTTTGAAACAGCATAATTATCATCTACATCACTTTGATGAACTCTATCAGTATCACCATGTAATTGCTTAGTATGATATGCTTCAAGTTGTTTAGAAGCAGAAAATTCTGTAACAGGTTTTGAAGAATACTCAGAACCTGCTTGTTTACTAACCGAGTATTCATTAGATAAAGACTTAGCCGCATATTCTTCAGAGTAATCTGAACGAACTTGATTTGACGTGAAAGAATGTGAAGAATGCGTAGATATATCCAGCGATTCCGATTTAGCTATAGAATCCTGATGAAGCTCGCGAGATGATTTTACTTCACCGGCAGAGTGTCCGCTAATGTCTTCGGTACGATATTGACTCATCTCTAATGTTAAATCACGATTCACATATTTAAAATATTGAACAGTATTTCGATTTGTCTCTTCAGTTGATTCGGAACCTATCTGTTGTTTTACAGTAACGCCAATACTACTTCCACTAGAAGACGAATGTTTTTGCGCGCATATCACAGATTCATTGGATCTCACATCGTTCTGTTGGCTCTCGGCTTGCTTTGCAGCCATATTCTATTAATTATGTAGCCATCTTCGTTTCATACAGCAACCAATAGAATCATTCGAAAGGTGCGATGCAGTGTTAAGCAGCGTTGCAATCTTTTTTCAATGAATTGGTTCTTTTCATTGGTCCTTGTTCTTACCTATATAATTTTGAAGTCTCATGTTCTCAATTACAAATGAATATCGGTACCCAACATCCTACCACCAAGCTATTGGATTTCTGAATTATAGAAACAAAATACAGATAGATGATTTGTGCAGTTTAAATTGTCCCTTTACAATTTTTTTAAAAGAAACTATATTTTAGAGTAAAAGAACCGTGTACAAGTATCTTAGTTACAATTTCGAACATTAAAATGTTATGACTGTATTACTAGATAAAACTATAAAAAAATTTTCCCATGAGAGAAATTAATATAGCTCATTAAAAATATGTTAAAAAATTTAATTTGGACCAAAAAAAACATCTAAAGAGCAAACATTTTACGCATGCGTAAATAAACACAAAATCAAGATAAAAAATTTCTTAATTTGTAATCTTAAATTTTTTAAATTAATTTATAATTTATAAAAATATTTATATGAATTTAAAAAATATTATATATCATATCGATATTATATATCATATTTATAATCATATATAAAAGCATATTCATATCATTTTTAAACAAAAAAGGCGCGAAATACAAAATATTAATTAAAATAAATTAATATAATTTAAATTCAAAGTCGTAATACTATTATATAATTTGTTCTTTAGAAATACTTTGAAAACACTTACTAAATTCATGTATTTAATTATTATTATTAATTTATTATATTAAAAAAATCTTATTCAATAAAAATATAATTTATTATCATGACTGTAGAAAGAATGATTAGTAAACGCACATGTCAATTATAAATAAAATCCATGATATGTCAATATTAATATAAAATGTGTTAGATCGACTGTTGCTTTGGCCTAAGTGTCACCATAAAAAATTATTTTATAGATTTATTTAATAACAACCATTACAGAAATTTCATTTTTATATTATTTTATAAATATCAAAATACTTTATTTTCTTTAAACAGTTTTTTCAATAATTTGAATAGCTATTTTATTTCTTAATAATTATTCTAAAACGAAAGTATATACAGAATAATCAGATAATTATATTATTATGAAATTACTGAATATAAATATGTGCGGTATTATCAGAATATATTAGTGTAGGTTAGTTGAATAGTTGAAAAGATCATAATATGCATTATAAACATTAGTAACTAAAATATAATTTTAAGACATATTATTTTAAAAATTTTATACTACAATTTTACAGACTTATATACATAAAAATATAATACATTCATATAGAATATATAAATTAATATCGAAACTTTAATAACTGGTTCTAACCATTAAAAAATATTAAAATTACAAAATTTGCTCCAAAAATAGTAAAAGTTGTCAATAAATCGTTTAAAAAAAATATTACAAATACCTATAAAATTTGCATTAAATTTTGAAATAGAGTATTTTGTTACTATTTTTTCATCCATCGTTCATTCTATTATTGTAAACAATAATTTATTAGAAAATTATCAATTTCCATGTAAGGCTATATTAGTATCGATAATTACTAATGATATATTAGTATCCAAAGGCCATAGTTTATATTCTATTCCTATTTAAAAGAGATCATTAAACTGTTAATAAATTAGTATACTACACTGTCGGAAATAAAAATCCAAATCCAAAACTGTATATAATTAAATTCAAATAATTCATATATTGTATTTTGCTAAAATACTACTATTATATTTATATGTAATTTATAAAATAAAATTAATTTTAGTAATAATAAATAAATATTGTTCATAAAAATAATTATAAAACATATATTAAAAAAATTAAGATATTTATAAAAAATTGTAATGTACTAATGTGTATTGTAGTCCAAACATTGCAATAAAGACATTCGGTTACTATTAAATTATATTAATAATATTTATTAAAAAAAAACTTTATTTTATTAAATATTTTTTATAATATATAATCAAATATATTCTATTATAATTAACAAATATCAAAAAACTGTTGAACCATTTATAAATGTTATATACAAATAAAGTAACTGTGCATCTATTATCTTTAACAAAAACTTTTTAATTTTACAAAATAAGAAAAAAGATTTGCTATTATTTTAACGAAGTAAATTTGATTCAAGTACTACAGTAAATTATTTAGTGTAGACTTCATATTTTTAACCAGAACCTAAAAAACATTAACTATTCGTTTATCCTTCAATTTAATAAAGAGAAATTAAAATAATTTTTATTCAAACTTTTCTATAATTAATCAGAAAAATTTACTTTAACTTTCCTTTTAAATTGTAAATCCTCATTCAAATAGTAAAGTTTATGTTAATTATACATATGTGTCTATATCTATATATATATTCTTTAACATGTAATTTACAATATTTAATAATTTGTTTTCTTTTTACATTATTAATTAAGCTTTTATGTCTAGCCTTTAAGATAATATGTATTATATGTTACTTAATCATTACATCATACAAACGTATATTAAAATTAATATTCAACATTCAAAGTTTATAGCAACCATTCTTGTTAGAAAAGAAAATTTATAACTAAAACAGAACAACCAATAACTGAATTATTGATATATATTTGCATCAAAATATCCACAAAACACACATATTTAGTAAAAAAATGTCGTTATATGTATATCAGAAATTGAATTTGTATTTATATTTAAATTAGGATAAATGTTAAATTATGAGAAAAATTATTCAACTACTACGTATGGCTCTATTGTATAAGATTCAACTACGATGGATATATAAACGATAAATACCTATAATATATATTTTGGCAATAGCTCAATAGTGGATTATAGCGAATATGAATAAAAAAAATAAAATAACCGAAACCAAACACAATTCAGAGATTGGAAAGTTACAAATAACATAATTTAACAATTGAGGAATTGAGGATGAAATCAACATACAACAAATTAGAGCAAAAGTCTTTTCAAATTACTTTAAAAATATAATGAAATTAAACATAATTTTTTTTTTATTTTTTTTATATTTTTTCTATTTTTCAAAAAATATATTAATAACAATTTTAAGAAAATTTTTATACATATTTAAATACGAGAATTAATTTTCATACATCAATTTTCATATTTCATTTTTCAAATGATCAAATTAATATTTCTCCTATCAACATAGAGTATCTTTATATTAAATTTTGTATAGATTTCATAACGTAATGTAGTAAAAGTTAAAAAATATATATAATAACAAATTTTCACAATCAACTAATCTTATTCTTAAATTCAAAATACGCGCGTACACTACTACCAATCAGCATAATGTTTTACTAAATAAATGAAATTTTTGTTATTACATCATAGAATTCCTCACCCTAAATTTATATATAGGTTGTACTTACTGCATACTTTCTTTATCAATATTACTTTTAAATATATTTTTAACTAGTGTATATATTTTTATATACATGGGTGTGCGTGCGAGTGTGTATATGCATTTAATTCGCGCATCTAATTTATTATATTGAAACGTAAATTATTAATTATAACTATTATATTATATTTTTAATATTTAAATTTGTAATAAATATTTTGAAAATGGGTGATGAAAATTCTACAAGTTCTGATAAGTCAAATGCAGTTAAACCAAAATTTTTGCATAATCTAGTAGAATTCTATGTACCTTTAACTGGAGTTATTTCGTATACTACACTTTCTGTAAATATTATGAATCCTAATCTTAGGTATGTCAAATGATATATTAATAGTAATTGAAAGATGATTTAACAAATAGCAAAAATCATTGTCAAACCAAAATGTTTGTTTTATTATATCTAACATCTAAATTTAATTAATATTTTAATTTAATAGTAAATATATTTTTAATAATTCAAATTATTAAGGTAATTATATTTTATATAAATTAAAATATTAATTTTATTACATTAATACTCTATGATTGTTAACTTTTTAAAACTAAACATAAAATGATTTTTTCCTAATATTTTATATTTTATATATATATTATATTACAGATTATTATAATTTAATATTATATCATTTAATTGTTTACTTGTAGTAAATTTTTCTTTTTATTAAAAATTTTTTACAATGTTTTTGGTAATATTTTTTATAAAATATGTAATAAACATAATAGATACAAATATACAAGAATTTTCTAATAGAAAATGTAAGTAATTCAATATTCATATAAATAATTTTTTGTATCTAGTTTCAAATTTAGATTTGAAATATTTCTATTTATATGTTTTACAATTTATCAGTTAAATGAAAATAATTATTCAATAGTCAAGTATAATGTTATATGAAAAAATAATCACCTATATATTCTTTAATCTGATAATACCATAAAAATAAAAATAAAATATTTATAAGTCAAATTATTATATTAAAACATGTATTACTTTGAAATAAATTAATCTAGGCCATTGAAATATTTGTAAGAGCTTTATTTAGAACAGCTACCATTACTTTGATAACTCTATTAAGAACACAGATGAAAAAAATTTTATTTAAATTTAGACATAGTCCTGAATATAAGTAATCCTCTTCTATAATTACTCCTATAGTTTCAAATATGACCTGGTATTACTTTTCAATTGAAGGAATTGACCCAAATTTTACAGTGAATGTTTATACAACAATAAATTACAATACATTTTGTATGTGTATCCTTGCAGTTTTTTATAAAATCTAACAAATAATCAAGTAATTATAGTATTAATTTATCATATAAAGTTTTTTAAAAGTTCTGTATTAGAAAACTTTTGTGATTTAAATTAGAAACTGCAATTCAAGCAACTATAGTATTATAGATTACAAATTAAAATTTTGTTGAGTTATTGCTTGCCTAATGAAATACTTGATGAAAACTCATGAGAACTAAACCAAGATAGCAAATAAATAAAATTAAATACATCGGAATATTATATATGAATTAAAGAATTTTATATAATTTATCATAATTCATTTATAAAGATTAAAAAAATTATTCAGCATTCAGATTAATTTTGTTATTATAACAGTTATTATACAAATATCAAATAATTTAATCATGTTTAATCTAGTCATTTGGTAATATAGTACAATTTTGATTTTAACAGGTTGTAAAATCAAAACAGATTTGTAAATAGTATTTTATTATGTAATATACATCAATAAATGGTTTGTTTGAATTGAAATGAAAAAAATTAATTTTATTGTACTACTGTAAAATATAATGAACTACAGTTAAATAAATAATTTATTAAAAGGCAAGCAAGTTAATAATTTAATGATGAAATTTAGGTATTTAAAATGTCGAAACCTTATTTATGATGAGTATTAAATATAATATATAATTATTGCATTGGCAATCAAAAGTTGAACCCCTAATGATATGTAATCATAAAATTAAAATTTCAATAATGGTTGTAATGATCACTCAATACTTTTTCGTTTCTTTAATTTCTGTAATTTTTGGAGAAATTAATTTTTATAAAAGAATTTCCAAACTATTTTATTCCAATTGAAGTAGATATACATCCAAGTAAATGTATTATACTAATTAAATTCCTGAACTAGGCAATACATGTTCACAATATTTTCACGGAACAAATAAAAATAGAAGACTAAGTAAAGAATGACTATGATATTTTTAATGTTTATTAATTTCAATAAATTAAAAATTATCTGAAGTTCTTTACTCTCAATCTCCAAATCAATATGCAATCTAAATCCAACTACATTATATCAGTATTCGTATTCCAGATGCTTTTATAGTATACACAAATATAAATGTAAAGAATATTTACTTAATTATTAATCTCCTGAAAAAATAAATATTAAATATTTTTAAGTGGCTATATTATAACGTTCTAGTTATTTTTAAATAATTGAATTATAAAGTTGAAGTATAAATTTTTCTTTACCAGAAAATTAATTTGAATGCATGATTGATTAACAGGGCACCAATGATATAATAGAATTATTTGAATTAGCATCTATTTTGAAAACTGCTAAAAAGTTATAGTTCATTCAGAAAATATAGCATCTTGTTCTTTATCTGTACCAAATTATCAAGGCTAAAAAGAAATATATCAAATTATTAAATATGTCAATACATTAATCAAGATTGAGAGTTATATAAATGATATTTATTTTGAAAATTGATGATTTTATTAATTTCCTAAAAATATATTGCTAATAATAAAATATTTATATAAAGTAAGATTAAGTTAATAATTTTTATTAACATTAATCCATTATGTATAAGGAATTCTTTCTTCTTATATGAACAAAGATACGAAAAAAAAATAATGAAACTGATTTCTGAATATTTCATCAAATTTTTAATTTGTTTGAATAAAAATAATGTTATATAGTCAAATAATATTACTAAATTTTTAATATTTGATTTATAAAATAATTTTAACTATAAATATTTTTCAGAATATTTGCAGACAAGGATATTTCAAATTTTTTATTATTAAATTCATTATTTGGAACAGGCACATATATTTTTACTAGAGAACATATTAAGAAAGCTCCATCGAATTATAGATTTTTTTATAGGTGAGTATATTGTATAACGAACAATTTTATTTAAATAATTTTCTAATAAACCAATTTGTATAAAAGTTTTACTTTTTATACAAAAATAATAACTTTCGATTTATTATTATTAATATGATAACAATTTGTAACCAAGATTTAAGTTTAATGTTATACTCTATTAAAAACACGAATTGATCTATAAAACAGGAAGCAATAATTTATGGTATTTGAATATGTATTATGAGAAAAATTGAGTGAATAATAGAAACAAGAATATATTATAACAATTTAATCATCAATCAATTACTTCCATATTTTCTAAGTAAAATTTAAGTATAATTAATGATGTGGCACTAAAATTTATAAGATATATTTCAACAAAATCCATGTTTTATCTTTTACATCGTTTTTCATTCCGAAATACAATCTTGCAGTGAAAGTAAAATTAATGTTGAATTTAGCATACAAACTATGTTCTAAGAGAAGTATTAAACAGATAAGAAGTAAATAATGGTCTCGTCCAATAAAGTGGTTATCGATGTTCTAGATACTATATATAGATAGATTATTTTAAATATAACATAAAAAAATAATGTATAAATCGGCTTTTGTTACAATTCTCATACTTCATCAATTAATCTCAATTAACTTATTTTAGATATATTATAGATTTTTTAAATAATCAAATTTTTTAATAAATATAGTTAATTTTTTTTTAATAATTAAGGAAGAAAAATATATCTATATATATAATTAATAACATAATCTAATATATTTAATTAATTCAAACATAATTCAAAGTAAAATCTCTTAAAGTGTTTCATACAATCAGTGTTAAATGAACAGTTGATAATTACGGGTACATTAGAAAATATGTCTCGTATAATAAAGTTATTATCTTCATGTATAATTATTTATTACAATGAAAAGTTGTTATTTAAAATAATTAAATATCTATTAATAATTTTATAAATACTACAAACTAGACACGTGTACGCTAGATATGTAAATATATTCTATTACTAAAATGTTCGTTTTATATTATATTTTATGTTTTTTACTTCGTATTTTAAATAGTTATCAATTATCCATCTATAAATATGTTCTGTTTAATAAAGTGTTATTGCTATATTACTAGAACAAATGGAAAACTTATCAGAATTTTTTAATATTTAAGTTTGTAATTATATCCAAAATACTATTTAATCAAACAACTGATAGTCTTCATATTGAATAATTATTAAATTTTCATTTAAAATTCCCGATTAATTGCTTTATATAAAAACTTACAATACGTATTCGTATTTCTTATTGTAACATACGCATTTTATTTAATCCAAACAATAGCTATTAGTAATTCTATTTATTAATTGAAAATTTATATTTTCGTTAAGTCATTGCTCTTTCTATTTCAGATATTTTATAATTTTCGAGAAATCATGTAGAAGATTGAAGTTAAAAAATTTTTTATTGCTTTATATATTTTTGAAATTAAATTGTATCTAATCTCACATCCAAAAGATAAGTACTAAATTAATATCCATAACATTGTTAATTAATTCCATAAAAATTTTTAACCCTCTTCCTTTGTGGTTTATAAAGGTAGATAATAATTAAAACTGTGATTTATGATACATTGTATTAGCATAAATAATAATTAACTATTAATATTTAAACAATATTTGCGTTAAATTTAAATTTTTTGTATAACGACGATGTTAGAATCAAATTTATAATTTTAATAAGAGTTTTAGAAAATGTATAAAACCGAATATTTAAAAAATTCTACATTGAATAATTATTCCATGAATTATAATAAAATTTAAGGAAAATCTGCATATCGTTATGCCTTTACTGATATCTTGACAATATAGTTATAGCCCTTAAATAACGATGAAATAACTATGATTTTTAATCAATCATTTTAATCATAAAGGGATTCTATCATAGAGAAAACAGATCTCTACATTTTATGAACTAGTAATTATAGTACAATACTTAAAATTATCTTAAATTTCATTACAATTTGAATGAATCCGATGGAAATTCTTTTTCATAATAGTCGCTCGTTGGAGTGGTATAATTCATGTTAAATTTATCTGTTTCTATGTTGGCTTATTAAAATATATAAATTTAATTTAATTAATTTTGTGAAGGAAATCTGCAAAAGAATAATTAACATTTATGACAATTTTATACTAGCAGAGATATACTACTCTAATATCAAATTTAAAAAAAAAACAGAAAATAGGAATTTCACATATTGTAACGTTTTTTAATTTTTTATCAATTTTTCATATAAAAGTCATAGATTCGTCTAAGCTTCATAAAATAACATTTACATGTGAATAATTAAAAATTAGACTACTCATAATTTCTAATACTTTTTTACTTATTTTATATAAGATATTACTACTTTGTTATTAATTTTTAATTAAAATCATTTTTTAATAACTTATATCCCAAAAATAGAATATGCACATATGCACTCAAAAATAATGGTTTCAATGGAAAATGGGTTTAGTAATGAAGGATAACACATTATTACAAAAGTTAACAATTCTATGTGTAAAAAAAGATATGTCGCTTTAATTCGCAACATAACTAAACTTAAATTATCAAATCCTGTTCACATTATATCAATTATTAATATATATATATATATATATATATATATATATATATATATATATAAATTAACATTATAACATTATATCTTTTGATCATTGGTACTGCGTTTGCTTCTATTATTTTTGTTACTGTCTTATATACTGGCTAATATTTTCTTTTTTATTTAATCCTTTCTCCTTCTTTTTTCTGTACCATTTCACATTTTTTCTTTGAAGATTTACATCTCGAATTTTCTTTTTATATTTTTTCACAATTTTAACTTCGTTTTTCTCGATTAATTCGATTCACCTTTCTGTAATAGTTTAATTAAGTCGCCCTTTGTCTCTATATTTATTTTATCCAACAATCTATTGATTGCTATGGATTTATTTAGTTTTTTTATACATCCAAGAAATATATGATATGCTAAGTTAATAGTAAAAATATTAACTTTTATTAAATATTGATCTACAAAGATAAAAATTTATATCATTTTATTATAGATTCTAATTTTAAAAATTGAAAAAATATTCACATTAATTATTTAATTATTAAACGCATTTAATAAACGAATATTTTCTGGTGATATTTTATAAATTCTACAAAATTTAACTTGCATATTAAATATGTGATTTTTTATTTATTTATATATTTCAATTTTTATGTATTTTAGTGTTGCAGGTGCTCTCCTGCTTAGTTTCGGATCAGTTTTAATATGGTCAGTCTTACGATCTGTAATACCATCAAATTCAACACTTTTTACTATTACAGGAATAGGTAGTAGCCTATCGTTTATTACTATTGGACAGAAATATTTAACACATGTTGATAAATTAACAAAAGATAAAAAAAAATAACTACATGTACTAAGTAAATATATATAATATTAATAATGTATTTGATTTTTGAGTAAATAAAAGTAAATTGAAGATGTAAATGCTTGAATTATGGTATTAAGTATAAATTTACCTGACAGAAATACAAATACTAATTAAGCGAGAAATCATTAATGTCTTCGACTGTAAATTGCAAGTATTTTCTCTTTAATATTTCAATATATCTAAGACTATAAGCAAATATTAACAAGTAGAAAAAATTTATTTAACAGTATTTATATTGTAAAGATTGAGTACAAAATAAGTGGTAAAGTAAAAGTAAAAAATAAAAAATAAATAAAAAAATCATGATTAAATAAAAACAAAAATTTTATATTTATATAAGTTTGGCTAATATTCTAGGTACCAAAGGCTATTACATAAAATATAACTTGTATAAATGCTACGATTTGGTTATTGGAAGATAAAAAGAAAATACAGCTGAATACAAGGTGGAATTTATCAACGTTTTAGTTAATTCCGTGACTAACAAAATGGAAAATGTTTAACGCGTTACACATTACAGCATAAAATTTCAAATTTCTATGATAAATATAAAGTAAAAAGAATAAAACGTGAAACTTTAAATAATAGGATATTTAATTAACAAGTGACCTTAAACAAAGTAACTGAATATTTTTTAATTAACCGAGTTCAAATATTTGCTAGAAATTATGGCATTGATTGACAGTTTCTTATTAATATATAAATAATATTGTATGTGTCATTAGCAATTTTAAATGAGTTATGGCTTGTGTCAGTCTGTTTTATAATGAATATTAGACTCGACGCATACAATAATTTCTTACAGAAATCTGCATATTGCTATTAAAGTATGAAATCTTTTTTAAACTTCATATTTAAATGTCTCAAATAAAGATGTTTTTTTTTAACAAATTATTGTCATTCCTGAAAATCAACAAGAGTTTATGCATTCCTTTTAAACAAATTAATTCAAGCGATAAGTCTTAAAAGTCAACAGAATATACGCTTGCTTAACTGTATTTCGACCCAGTGAAATCTAGATGTTAAGTAAAACATAGCCTTAATTGTTAAATAGCTTTTATGAACTCCATTATATATTAATTATAATAATATTACATAATTAAGAGGCACTATAATACCATAAGAAAAAAAATTTATTTAAGTTAGCTACACAATACAGTAGTCTTTTTTAAATAGAAAAACCACTTGATGTTGAACTACTAATGTTCCTACCTCTTACTTTTAGAATTCAAATTATACTAATGTAATTTATATTGTTTGGCATTAAAAACTATTGTATTTTTTATAGCAATATTTTTATGTAATTTATCATATTTTCATCGAAGCTGGACAAAATAACATCGAATATTTAATAAATCTCAAGTCTTCTTTCAGCGATATATCAGCAGAAATATATAACTAATTTGCTTAAGAAAGGAACAACAAATCAAATTAAGCACAAATAACTAATTATAATGTTAGTTTTATCTGCCATTGTTATTTCTTTACGCATCTATCGTGACAGTTAATACATTGATAGTCTATAACATCATTATGTTTCGGTATTTAAATGAATGATTTGAATTCAAATCCTATTACAAAATTATAATAATCTTGAACAATACTAGTCTTATTACTTTTCACCTGCAATTGGACCTAAGATTTTTCTCTAATAAATATCGCAAATTTTTAAACGTAAATCTTCAGTAATTAATAATTCGAATAAATCATCTAAAAAATCAAAATATATTTCAATCCATATAAGTCTAAGAAATACTACTTCAGGTGGTAATTAAATTTTTGAATAAAAAACGCGATTAAGTGAAATTCGTATTACCACCATATTCGATCTAAAAATATAATTTACAGTACAAAGTATTAATTTCATTCTGAATTAATAAAATCACGTATTACGTATTATAAAATAATTAAACCATAAAGAATACATCAGTAATTGATTTTGCAGATTAATTTGACAAAATGTTCATCAAATCAATTTTTAATTAAAAATATATTTCTAGAAAATTATTTAAAAATGGATTGTAATTATAATTAAGTTTATATCGTTTTAGTTATACTAATTATTTATATTTAGTTTATAAATTTAAACTATATAAAAAAATATATATATATACTGGTGGAAAAAGGTATTTTGTAACAAAAAATTAAAATAAAAAAAATTGATATGCATTACAAAAATACTACAAGACTCAACATATTCTTGATAGTAAATCGCCACAGAATTCTATGTAATATAAACAATAAATATCCTTAAAATAATTCTAATTATATAAAATATTATCTTTTTACTGTTCTGGAATTAAAAGCTAAAAACTTTTAAATGATCATTTATACAGATATACAAGTAATCCTACTCCAAAATATTAATACCAATATATATTAAAAACATTGGACTAAAAATGATATTGGAGTTTCCCCTTCTTACAATATAAGTTAGTAATAAACATTTAAAAGTAAGCAGAACTGCGCATTAAGAAATATTTGTATTTCCGTCGATACTAGGTTGCATAGGTAAACCTAAGTAATATATACTGCTACATTAAATAAAATTGATAATAAAATATATTTATTAATTTTAACGTTACATTTTTAATTAATTAAAAATATTTACTATGATAATATTGTTTATGAAATGCTTACTAAAAAGAAATAATTTACATTTTACTAATTCAAAATCTGATAAATGCTAACATACGTTGCATAATTATAAAATATTATTTTGTAGCTGTTTCCAATATCCTAATGTAATATTTTTCTAATTCCTATTTTTTGTTTTTTTTTTTTAATAACGGTATTGTCTAAATTTAAGTGTTATGCAAAAAATTAACATCAATGCATTGTTTTACTTTATAATTCAAATATTTATTTATTATAGCCGTTACTCTATATAGTTTAAAATTTTATAGCAAAAATATTGTTATATTAATTTTTTTAAATAATTAAATCATTTTTCTAACAACTTTTTCGCATGACATTTATAAAATATTTCACATTACTTATCTATAGCTTAATTTTTCGTTTAATATTAAATATTTATTTTGTTTGTATGACCGAATCTTTATGTACGAATGAAACTAATGCCATGCCCATATATACCAGAAATTTTTATTAAATTTAATTTTCAATAAGTATTATATACAAAAGTTTTCATATTGTTCATGTATAGGATAGAATAAATTTTATAGTTAATCAAGCATATAATAAATTTTGACAGGTAATGCTATCCATTAAATTACAAATGAAAAATTTAATTATTAAAAACAATAATTATTTACTATCCTTTTACCTAATACTTATTCGATTATTAACAAATCTATTTTTAAAATTTTTAATGTGGATGATTTTGACAAGATTTTAAATAATTTAACGTTAGAACAAATATTTCTCAATTATTCGCGCTTGTGGTTCTATAAAAAATTTTTTCTTATACTTTTTCTTTAACAATTCTACATATTTCTTCTGTTTGTAATACGAAAATAAATCATTACAACACTACATGCATTTATAATTTTAAATAAACATGTAACCGATCAATGTTTAAAAGATATCTATAATTAGAGAAGCTAAAAAGTACTATTTACTTGTGCTTCGTTGTAGTAAAATGATCAGAATCATTTAAATCACAAACCAGTTTAAACCCCAATATTTATTATAAAATAAATTACCTTCCATCATTAAGGTAATGACGTTAAAAGGTTCATTAACACTAATAAATATGCATATAAAAGATATATAAAGTTTGTGTTTTTAATCTTGTTAGCTTTGATAACCATTTATATTATTACGATGTTTCAAAAATGTTATATTAAAGATATTGATAATCATAAAAGATCTCATAGTTTAATAAATTTGGAAAATTATGCAAATAATGTTATGAAATATCCAGAACAAACTGTTTTCAAAATTTTTTGTAATAAGTTAATTATGACAACTAACCGTTTAAATAATTATTTGTCGTAGATAAAGTCCAAGTTTTATTAATATGAAATACTTTAATCTACCATCATTATTTGTGAAGGATAAACATCCATTTAATCTATATTTTTCTGTATATAAACAACTTTTTTTGATCATTTATAATATAATTAAATATATTTTTATACTTAAAAATAAGCAGTTTTGAATATATACTATGTTTTTCTATTCAAGATCTAATTATTTTTCCACTTCCAATCCAATTACGTTATCTTATTCATTATTATAAAGGCCTGATAGAATCCTATTTAATCAATTGTCTATTCTTTATTGTTTACTATAATTACATAAACTATTTACTTATTAAAATACCTACCACATAAAATCCACGTCAATATACCGCCCAATAATCTACTTCAGTTATGTTAAAGATTTCAAATTTCGAAGATAAATCCTTTACTTGCACATATTGACTTAATTATTCTGCTCAATAAATCCTGACAATATTTGCATAACTCATATATTGATACACATTCTATTTCTCGTCTATACTTTGAATAGTAGACAAAAATGTCCTTTAAAGGTTTCCTGGGGCCAAAGTTAAAAAAGCAGACCTGTCATATTTTAAGTTACTACTATTTATATTCAAACCTTGCAGAATCTTTAAGAAAGTTTTATGTATCGATTATATGAGTATGTTAATTTTTCGAATATTATAATATACATACATTTCAATAAACTAAGAACTATTTATATATAGAAAACGAAACGAAGAACTATTTATATATTTATTGTATGAGCTATACAGTCCTAAACTCTATCATTTGCCTTACCATTTCATCCTTAGCTATAAACTTAGATTCTTGAAATTTTTCCCGTTAAGAATTTGTTGAATACCTTCATTCAAATATAATAATTTGCTCGATGTTTTGAAATTCGCCAAGGGATTTTTACTTTTTCTACAACTTATAAATTTTCACGATAGTTACCAATATTATATTTGCATATCAATTTTTTTAATCTACTTTATCTTGTTTCATCATCTATTTATTCACATTAACATTATAAAATTCAAATTCGCATATTCTTTCATCGGTTCCTGTAACATTTTCCTTTTATTATAATCTATTTCTTGTTAACCACTCAGTTTCACTAAAAAACATATTTCATGGTCTATCGTAAAATAGCTAAACCTATTCTATTATTCTTAATCTGTTATTCACTGTTCTTACATTCTTTCATGAGACATTCATTTACTTTATATTCGTTATCATGACGATACCAAGTTAGTCCTGCAATTATAAATATATAGCGGTGCTATTATTATACACGAATAACTTGCTAATAAAAAATAAAAATATAAATATTTATAGCTTATTGAAATTACTTCAATCCACTTTTGAGTCTTACATTATTTATCAAAGAATCATAAAAACATGTTACTATCACAAAATACAAGTCGCATATTTTATTCTGAAATATATTTAATCATATCATTTATTTTCATTATGACAAGAAAATTTTTATTTTAAGATTATATATTATAATAAATTGTATTAAACTACGTACTTAAAAATAAAAATTATTATATTTAAGGTTTATAGAAAACTATAAGCTTTAAGATGAATTAACTTTTTAAACAAATGACCATATACAATACTCTCTCTACAATTAATTTTTTATTACAATTATTTATTTTAATTTAGATTATTTTTCTTTAATTATGTCAAAATTGTATATGAAAATAAAATCTAAAAAAATTTATAATAACTTAATTATTGTATAATATTTCTAGCACAAATACTAATAAATGGTCGAAGTTCTTGTTGAACATAATCCTCTGGTAAAGGCAACTGAGAAATTAAATTAACAAAAAAATTACTAGTGTTATCTTCATTGGATTGCAATATTAATAAGCTCCTTGCTAACTGCAATGTTCGCTTTGCCATTTCAGCTTGACAAAGTCTATAAATAACAAGTTGTATTTATATAAAATAAGAAAATTATAATATAAAAATAAAATATTATTTAAATTATACCTGTGTTTTGTCGTGGGGCATGGAAATGCTGTTATTTTGGTACAGAGAGAAGTTAATTGTGGTTGTAATAATTCTAGTTTATAACCTATATCTGAAATATTTCCATTATTCAATAACTCTGTTACTTCGGTAGTTATTATTAAATAATCCAAAAGTAATTGACCTTGATGAGCCCACCCACTTATTGAATTGTAACAATTAGTATTTAGCAATAGGTTTAATAAAGATTGTAAATATTCGTGATTTTCTGTAACATGATTTTTTATGCTACTGTATAAAAAATGTATATAATAAAATTATACTTAATATTATAGATAGTACGCTAAACATTTTATTTAAAACAAATATTTAATATTGTTACATAACATTACATATTACATATTAAATATTTTACAATAATTTTCAATAAAAAGGGTCATATGCACTTAAAATATAGGTTCCGTTTTATTATTTTTCTTTCATTATTTGTAATCAAGCTCCTTTATTTTATCACTGTAGAATTTATAAATTCATCAATTTATTATATATAATATAAATATTTTTCAATACTGTTTCCTTCAAAGCTATATAATAGTATGATTATTATAAAATATTTTAACATAAATATAAAGAATGGATTGTATACAAAATACTTTTTTAAATAAAAATATCTGTAATTTTATATGTAAAATTTATACTATAGTCTTTTTTGTTTTCAGTGAATTCTTGTGAAATTCAGTGAATTGTAAATGAAAGTTATATAATATGTTAATTATATTAGTATTGTTTAGTTATAAGTTTCCACATTCATGCTATAATAATTAATTACTTATTACTATGAATATAATGAAAATAATAATGATATAATCTACTATAAATTTATATAATATTTTCAACTTTTTCATGAACGTGTTATTCATTCTAATATTTTTGACATAAATTCAAAGAATGACATAAAATTAAAAAAGGTTTAAGTTTAAGGTAATATTTATTTTCAGAAATTTAGAATTATAAAAGTATGACAATTTTTAAAAATTAAAGAAGTATAACGTGTGATACACAAAACCCATATACGAGATTTAAATAGATTTATTCATTATATATACAAAACTATTGCACCCAGTACATTTCACATGGATAAGTAATATATTGTTTACGTTTAATAAATTTTGGATTAACTCATTAGAGATAATTCTTATATATATATAATTTCAATTAATTTAATATAATATTAATTAAATAAGGGTCAATATTGAATGATAATTATAAGAAATTTTGAAGTTCTATGAAATATGCATCTTTTTTTCTATACCGAATTATTGAAATTAATTTTTTACATAATATTAAATTTTAATAACATTTTATATAATATGGCGTCTATTTCTCTATATATTTCTCAAGTATGATATTTGCATTGAAAACAATTTTTAAATTTTTAAACTTTTTAAAATTAGAACCATTTCTTATCTTATCATAAATATTTATATAAAATGATTATGTTATACTTTTTATATTTATTTTTTCAGAATTTTAGCACTCTAATTTATATAATTGTATTAATTGACACGATAATCATATGCTACATTCTCGTATACGTTTTATTGTATTGAACTACGATATATAGTGTATATGCATCATTATTATGGTATTGATTCAAAAAGTGAAAATAAATAAATAAAAAATGTTATTTTTAACTATTTCAGCACGTCCATATTTTTATGCGACTTTACTTTTATTTTTATTTATTAATAGTTTCAATCATTTTCTTAATGATAATAATATAAAATAACTATATTGAAGAAATTAATAATCAAGGAATAATATTTACCGTTAATGATAGCTTCAGTAGCTAGATGTTCCATAATAATTTCATGGGCTTTATTCCAATTCTGAGCATGAATAAAATACCACGCGGCTTCTCCATACCTGAAATAAAAATATATGATTTTATATATTACCAATTCTTCATCTTCTATAATAAAGAATAATTATTTAGTTATCGTGCGTATCTTTGCATGTAAAATATGTAATATATATAATATAATTATTATGTGTATCATTCCTTATTTTAATTCAAAATAGATAAAAACCAATTTTCAAAAAGAAATTTCAATTTTAATTATGATATACATGATGATGATATGATTTATTGCAATTGATTGACTGTCGTAATAATGTTATTATGTAATTTATACGTAATTCAATAAATGTTTTCTACATTTGACAAGCGCATATCCTTTTCATAAAATATTATTCTCACGATCTATTGAATTTTTGACAGACTACCCTTCTGATTTTTTTCTGCACGAGTCGCTTAGATTCAAATTCTCAAATTTTCTCATTTATTTATTCTACTTCTTAACGATAGAGTAACCATAATCTTCAATAAATTTTGTTTTTGATATTGATAGTAATGATGTAAGATTACTATGTATTCATTTTATTAGATGCACAAAATTTAAATCTATCTTACGCTTCATTATTTGCTGTATATAATATTATTTTGACTATCTAAAGCTCATTTAAATTAAATTATTATGTTTGGAAACTGACTTTTAATTTGGGTGAAATATAGAACTTCTTGTATGATTAGAAATAGTTTTATCCTTTTGCTTTTATATTTTATACGAAGTGATTTAGGAATTTTAATGAATATTTAACGAATTCAACATTTATTAATTATATTTTGTTCTTTTATATATCGAGCTTTTCTTATATATTCGTGAAGAATTGTATTGTTACACAACTTTTACCACACTTTCAACAATTTGTTTTTATAATACGGACTTTACTTTTGTATACTTATTTTATTATCAATTTTTCTACTTTGATTATTTCTATAATTTAGGTATTTAATTCTAACCAATAAAGTACTGAACTCAAGAAGGAATTTTATGAATTATTAGCTACTTCAAAATATTATCATTTGAGATTTTCTCAATTACTTTTTTTGAATTTACATATTATTTGAATCATGAATATATATATATATTTCCTATTATTTTAATATTGTAAGATTACGTCTATTATTATCGTGTATTGAATTTAGTAATTGAGCAGTTCTCTAATACATTATATACGAATAAATATTAATTTTTTATTTCTTTTTATCTTCATAAAGTTTCAAAATAAAATTAGATTCTTTTAATAATCTTATACGTTTTTGTTAGCTTTAATAGATAAATAAACTATTTTTTCTAAAGCATAAAGTGAATATAATAACTTTATTTTAATTATAGTATATATACTTATATATGTAACATATCTAATTTGTATTTTTGATCTCACTATAATATCATTAGCTAAGAAATTATTTGTTTCTTTATTACTGCAATCGTACTAATTACTAATTTATATCAAATAAGTTTAGATATATGTTACTTTTATACAATCTTATCAGCCTTTTCATTTTTCAATTTTTTCAATTTCCCAAATACATAATATAATATATATTCTAAAATATTGTCCAGGTATTTTACATTTTATAAAATTTTCTATTTTTACTCTTAATTTGAGATAAATCATTCATTCTTATATTAAAGATTATACTGAAATTAGATTAATGTTTTAGCTCAAATAATTGGTGTATTTATTAAATTAATATTGTTAGATACTTTTTAAAAAAGAGAAGATTGTATTATTAAAATAACCCTTATTCTCTTATTTTTTTAAATGAAAACATATAGATACACATGTTTTATTATTATGTCTTATACTTTGAATAAAAATATTGAAAAACTCATTTGTTTTACATAGTTTACAATTATTCTATAGCACGTAATCTATAACGAATATAAATTCAGAAACGAATTTTTATTAAAAATTACCATCTTTTTTCAATTTCGGTTTTGATATTATTCCTAAGATATTTTGTTGGTTGATTTGCTGCTCAAAATCAATATTTATTTTATTTTAAATGTTTTGAAGCAAGATAACAGATAAGATTATTATTTTTTATCTCATATTTTTTACATTAGTAACTATTTTTCCAATCATAATTTATAGTAAATAATAATCAATATTATCCATTGATTTCAGTTTTATACCATTTATATTATTTTTTCCACATAAATATATCATATTGTGTTTGTCATTAATCAAGTTTTTATAATAAAATTAGACTTATGTATATTTTCATCTTTTATAGAATTAAAAATTTGTCTTATTTTTCATTATAAATTTAATAATTTTTATGATCAATTTATAACAATTAATAAATAACAAGTTTTAATATTTTTTTGTATAAGTAATCAAATTTTTAAAAATTCTAATGAATTTTGAGTTATTCGTTAATTTTTTATTTTTTATTTTAATTTAAATTTCTACGTTTTTTTTAAATTGATATTTAATTAAATTGCAATTTTATAACTGATTTTCAGATTAATAAGATTATATAAATTTTTCATTTATAAATTGAAGTGATAATGAACTGAAAGTCAAGCAGCCCAGTAAAATAATTTTTAACATATATTAACCGATTTGACATACAACATAAGTATTCGTATCATTTTAAATATAAGAGATCCATAATAATTTAGTGAGATATAAAGTAAACATTTTTTTAAAACAGTGATTTATAATTTGAACATAATTGTCAAAAACAATCATTTATGAATATCTTACAATTAACTGTAATAAAGAACTGGATTAAACAAAATTATTATTACATATTTCGAAATATAAATTTTTTTTCAATTTTATGATCGAGTATTCTTTTAAAATTCTAACACGATATTTTCTATAATAATTTTCATTACAATTATATTATAATTAGTATTAAATATAATAATATATCCACCTCTTCATTGAGCAAGCTTTAATAGCTTTGGCATGATTTATCCACTTCAATGGTACTTTTAATTTTGTTTTTAAAAAAGTTTCGCGTTCAATATAGTCAGGCGTTTTTTCCAATTTTACATTACGGAGAAGTAAATCTATTACAGCTTTATATCTTACATCAGGATTTTTAAAATGTAAAACAACAAAAACAGCCCAATGCCAGAGATCAAATGTTTCTAATTGTGTTGCAAAATTAGCATGTATTAGATCAACAACGTGTTCAGATATATGCATATATCCTAATGCATTTAGTGATTGTAATAATAACCAACTAAAAAAACAAGTAACAAAAAATTATATATTATTCACAATAATTATTTATGAAATAAAGTTACCTTAATCTATAATCAAGGGGATCATGTGTATAAGTTTGAGGATTTAATATTGCTTCCAATGAATAATTTCCTGTACAATAAAGTTTCAATAAATGATAGCATAAATCATATATTTTTTTGCCATTGATATTTTCAGTTTTAAATTCATTCTCAAAATATTCGGGTCGAGGAGTTTTAGTATATTTCGTTGTTGGTGTTGCTAAAAATGAAGCTTCATAAAGATCTAAAACATCCGTGATAGAAGCTGTGGGATGAGAAATGTACCTAAAATTAAATTTATTGATTTTTAAAATTTATGCAATATATTTATGTAAAAAATAAATAACCTGAATTTATAACAAACCATAAATGAATTGCCATAGAACGTTTCCAATCCAAATTTTCACAAACATTAATGGTTTCATTATTACTACAAATAATAGGTATGCCAGCTACTAACATAAACAATTTCAATCGATGTGTTGTAAGATTTCTATCAACATTAGTATTTTGCCAAAGTTTTATTTGCTGTTTAATTAATTCACGTGTTGCTAGATTTCCACTTAATTGAGATAACAGAAGTGCAAGGCAATGATCACCTACTTTTAATGCTTCATTACAAGCTTCCTTTAATTTATTTGCTATTATAAATTAAAAAAAATATGTATATTATAGATAACAATGATATAGCATATTTTTGAATAATATTAATTAAAAGAAAAATGTTAATAAATGTTTACTAATATATATTTTGAACTATAAAAACAAGGAAATTTATTTAAGATATTATACATTTAGTCTTAGAGTTGATAAAAAACTGAATGAATATTTATATTGAGCAAGGAATTTGCAATTTTGCCAGTTATCCGTTAATCTTAAATATGTAAAATTAATTTAATATTTAACAGTTGCAATATTTCACAAACAATCTTAATAATTTAAAATTAAAATTAAGAGATCTTTAATGAGTACAACAAATATTCATTCATGGGATTTGAATGTTGTTAGACTATTCAACATTCACCCTAATGACACCACTGAAAAAAAATATTGAATGTTTGATGTGATTGTAAATAAAAATAAATATTTATAAATAATTTTTGTAAATAAATAATAATAATAATATTTATAAATAATATTTGTAAATAAATAAAATCATATTTGGTTTATTTTATATTTTCTATCGTAGTGAATTAAAATACCCCTACATATGTATATGAACTAAAGTATTAAAATTAGAATAAGAAAATATCGACTGCAGTACTTTTAGGGAATTATGGTAGGTATTTAATGAAAATGTCACAATATATAATTTATAAGAATTATAGATAATGATCCAGTTGTTAAGATGAAATTGATTCATCTGAGATTTGGTTAAATGCATATACATCAATGTTAGATCATGATAGATAAATGAATAATAGAATACCCAATTGCAAAGGTCTCAAATATTATATTATATTTAAACTTTAATGTTTATAAAATGTAATAACGCTTTTTATTTATTTACTGTATATAGTAATAAAATTATAAGAAAAAAATAATTAAAGAAAGATTTGAAAATATATTTTTCAATTTATAGTAATAGTTTCGTAAATTAATATTTTTTCAAATATAAGTATTTTTTATTATTCTTTAAATGTCTTAATTAAAAATATGTATTAAATTTTAAATTAACATATTACTACGTATAATGAGAATCGCATTTAGAAGTTTGTATTTTTTAGATTTTATGATTCAAATACATTCCGTATTCGAAACAAACGCAAATTGACAAACCTTTTTTTAAACCTTTTATATAATTTCAATGTCAAATAGATATATTTATAAATATAATAAATAGACTTATAGCTTTATCATATACTTACAAACTCTATCGTAATTATTATGCTTACCTACGTTCATAAAGTAGTATCAATAAAAAATAAGTATACAATTAAAAGATGCAACAATACCTGTGGTAAATAAGATAATAAAGCAATAACAAATAAAGTTGTAAGAGACACGTGTATTTAAGAAATTTAACAACTCCAGTAAATAAAGTATAAAATTAAAAAATAATACGTAATCGTAAGCATTTGTTGCAACTATATTTGAAAGAAAAATACGATTACTGGTTCTTTGTATAAATTCGAGAATGCAATAACATTAAAAATATTAAAATTATGTTTAAAAACAATAATTTGAATTTTATTTTTTAGCAATACCCTTAAATCAATTGTTTTAATTATAGTAAAAAGTAAAAAATTAATCAATGCATTATAAATAAATAATTAAAATGCACTGTATATAAATGTGGAATGTATAAAAATTATTATATACGTACCGCTTAGTAATGAAAAAATTATTTGATCATTTGTTTCCATTGTTGCCATTTCTCGTTGGACAATTTTTCCTGTTACAAGTTTTAACCATTCACTAAAAGCGTCTTTTCGTAACATTACTATTTCATGGCTATTATCTGTATCATTATGAAATTAAAAATTTTGATAACATTTAATATTTATAAAAAAATTAATGAAATAAACATACTGTCAAAATGGTGAGAATCTGTCAATTTGCCCCATAACGATTCACAGAGACACAACACATCACAAAAGTATCCTATTAATGAATCTGATTTTAAATGACTTGCAATATTTTGGGAAAGAGATTTATGAGCATTTAGAGCAAATGTACTTGATTCGCCTGTAGCTGCTGTTATGATTGGAATACCTTGAAATTCTTCAATATTTGAATATTGAAGTTGAATATCCAAGTGCCCTTCTATAGTTGCCTTTTGTTGTGATATAAAATAATTTTAAATTATATTAAAAGTATTATTCAGTATAGTTTGAAGCACAAAAGATAAAAATATGAACCTTAAACGCCTGAATATAATTATTTTCCAAATTACTACCTCCAAGTATTTGAAGGCGCTGTACAATAGTCGTTGACGTAAAATCATCAAATTGACGACCATTTATGTATGATCCTAACTGATCAACTGTATTATACAGACAAATTTTTGCAGCATGTTGTTGTGTACTTAATGATATTAACGTTAATTGCGGTCCCCAACTGGGTCTAAAAATATTACCCATTTGAATACCTGAAATACATTTTATGTACATTAGTCTTATAATCGATATTAACTTTAATTATAAATTCATTACAATTTGGCAAATATTTTATCGTTTAAATATTTTACAATGAAAAACGATAAAACTGTAATATTCATGTATTTACATGCACGTATGCACGCGTATGCATCATAATGAGATAAAATCATCACATTAATATTATTACATGCCTTAGGTAAAACAATAATAGTTTAATGCAGAAAAGACCGTTCTGATATCCAATAAAAACGAAAGAACAATTACATACAAATGACGAAATATGATCAAATATGTATTAGAAATTAATTCTTTTAATTATTTATATCAAATTTACATGCACTGCAATTACTAATTGCTATTCCTCGTTCCTTTGAGATGCAGTAAATATAAAACAAATTAATTAGTTAATTGGTGATCTTATATCTACAGTTAAACAAGGATTTTAATTTATAGAAACAAAATTCAGGATTTTACTTTAACTTCAGATAATTTAACATATTATTCTGACTTGATTAATGTATTATTCCCATATTATAATACTTTTTTGTAGATTTTGGGTACACCAATATTTATTTATACAAGAATTATAGTTTATAAGTAAATCAATATGTACAGAAATTAAAGTATATATTTTTTAAACTCTATAAAATTCTTTATTTTTAATAAACATAGGTTGGAGCATTTTTAAATAAGATTTATTGCACGGTAATAAAATGTTAAAATTAAATCTATTAAAAAATAGCCAATTTTTTTTGTGTTTTAGTTAATATTTATTTTAATATTCAGTTTGGAATTGGATATTTACAAGATATATATTATAAATATTCTGGTTATATCTGATTTAAAAACTTACCAATATCAGCTATACACTTAAATCGATTCTCGTTTTTTAAAAAACGATTGAAGGGTGTAATTCCCGGTCGATATTTTAAAACAGTAACTTTAGGACACACGTTAGGTATAACTAATAGCTTTTTGGATTTTATTTCTTCGTTCAAATTGTTTAAATCTCTATTTAATTCAAACTTTTTATTTATTAAGGATTTAGAATTTGAATGATTAAATGGCCGTGCTATTGATTGAAGAACGGAACAATTTATAGTATTTTCTTGAAATTCAATATCATTGTCATTGTTTCCAGTACTTTGTTTATTCTGTCCAATAAACCATTTCTTGTTTTCATGGTCAAGTTCATCTAAAAATTATAATAGTATTTAAACAAAAATATATACTAAATCATTTTTAAATTTACCTTCAACTAAGTCATCATGAACTAATTCAAAAAAACTGGCTTTCATTAATTGCAATTTATGACTCTCGGTACCCACAAGATGAGCATGTACTGTAGTAGGACTACAGAATGATTGTTTTTCGGAATCATCTAGAGAAAAATTAATAATTTATTTTATAAACTATAGAATTATAAAATACATGAAGTTTTATATTTTTATTTAAAAAATATATATAGTATTTATAACAATCTATTTTGGGTGTTCACTCGCAATAGAATTAAATTGAATAATTTTTATTAATAAATATTTTGAATCGCATTACACTTCAGCAAAAATTTAGGAGGCATTATATTTCTTTTATTTAAATGAATTTGGCTTTAATAATTTACAATATAAGATACCATTTATATTTCTATTTCAAACAGTAATCATGATTATGTTATAATTCTCAAAAATAATCTTTTTTATCAATTAGCGGATGTGGTTGGCTTAGTAAAACTCCAAAAATTATTTTGGTACTGAGTATTCAGCTAGTTTTCATCCAATTATTGACTGCAGCATAATGCGAGTAAGTTAATAATGGTATTAGATAGAATAATAAGGGGTGAACATATAAAATAGAAGTTATTAAGTAATTTTATTGTTCTTATTTTTTACGGTATCAGTCAGTTTTGGTTAGTTTATGCTTGTCACTGTCATGTAGCGAGACGATTTGGAGTTTAGTTATCTATTCAACCTTACTTGTGAAGCATGTCTACAACGTGATTTTATATCATGCGTGTAATGCTTTTCAACGTTACATTCTGTTTAATGTACAAATACATAGGCTTTAGTTTTGGGTTTCTTAATTTTGATCATATTTGGAAATTATTTTAAATAATTTCTGAGAAATTTTAATGCAATTTTCATTATATAAAATAACATCATATCGAGGCTATACTGTAATTTCTCAATTTGACACTATTGGTATAAGAAACAATTTTCTACATATTTAATAATATTCTTATATGTTGGTTTTTCAGGATAATCGTTTCAATATTATCTCTTAATATGATGGGGCTTTTGCTTTAATATTTTTTGTACACAAAATACTTTCGTTTCAACTATTTAATTTTAAATATTGATTTAAATAAAATTTATGAACTGCTACTGATTAATTAATGAAATTATCGTTTATATCGTTAAGGAATAAAAGTGAGTTAATGCAGATAAAAAAGGAAAATTATTTATTACAGATAAAATACATGTTTTTCATTTTGTAACATTTCCACGGTATTATAATGATAGAGAAAATATATTATACACTATAGTCTGAAATTGAAAGAATAGTAATAACTAGGTTATAGGTTTTAGATTTAAGATAGATTTAAGATTCTCATGCAGTATACTAGATGCACATTATCGATCATTATATATTTTATTAATGATTATTTTTCTTGTCTAAACATGAATTCTACCATACAGGACACAATTGACATCTTTTACAATAATTCTCTTAATTGTCTCTTCTTTCTATACAATCACTACATTTTTATTATAAATAATATAAATTTTAAAGAAAAAATAACATTGCTTATTAAATGTTATATAGTTATATTACTAAATATATCAACTTACCATTAGACTGTCGTAGCATAAAATTACATGAAATAATTTCATTATCTAAATTTTGTACATCTGATTCTACATATTGAATATTTTCAGTAGTATTTTTGCCACATAATTTATCATTACTTTTATAATCATTTTTTATTTTCTTTAAATCCGGATTCATTTCAAGAGTAGGTTCATCATCGTCAGAATCGCTTAAACCATATTTAGAAAAATGATCTACTTTGAAAACCCATGAACCTGTTTCAGGTCTATATTCTAAAAATCTTGTATCATGCTTAGCAGAAACCCTTCTTAATTTTCCTTCATAATCCATTTCAATTAAACGTTTTGGATCAGTAATAGGTTCGTGACAAGATTTATCATGAGGCCAAACACGATCCAATGTTACTTGAGCCTTTCGGTTCAATCCTTGTCCAATAGGAGGTTTCACATTATCATCTGGGTAAATTATAACTTCTTTATGCCTGAAGTGAACTAAAATATTTATTTTTTTAATGAAATTTTTTAAATTTTAATTTAAAAGTTAATATTCATAATATATAAATAATTTTAATTAAGTTAAATAATTACATTTATTTCCTATATATTAATATAATAATACATTTATTTTCAATTATGTAATAATTTATATAAGTTAATTATACAGGCGTGGGGAATTATTATTAATTATTTTTCATAAGTATATGTTTTATTTATTATAAATTAAGAATAATTCAGAAAATAATAAAATCTTAATTAACTCGTACTTTCATTTTTATACATGTTTTTCTATTTAACTCTTCCATCCTTCTATTTCATACGAAATTCTTTGTTTTTTAGTCCAACTTTCATATCGCTATCTATATCAAATTTTTGCGTAGTATTTTAATATGTATCGAATATTATAATAATAGATCATTCAACCAATGTAAGTCTACATATTTTACTGTTAATTATATACATTAATTAGAGATTTTTAGTATAGAAATATGTACAAAGTATAATTAAAATACGTCGCCGTTAATAAGGAATTATGACAAAATGGGGATTAAATAATTGAAGTTAAACGTATTCTGGAGTATATAGTATCAATGCTATTATTATCGTATGAAATTATCACCTTTGTAGTACAATCTGCCATAAAAATGTAGCTATTTTTTCAAGAAAGGGTACACTCGCGTTAAGTAGTAGATGATAAAAGATGAAGCAACATCAAATTATGTACAATCAAGGTTTGTATAAATTATAGTTATATTATCGTAGTTCCATAGCTAAGTTCTAAATTCTTAGAAATATGGATTTTTATTTTACTATTTCAATATAATGACGATTTAATTTGATTTAAGTTACATTTTTTAAATTGATTTATTATTATTAATTCAGATTATATGAATATTTATGAAACCATTATGAAAATACTATTTCTATATGATTTTTTTTTATTTATATTATTATTTGATTATTGAAAGACGCATATTGAGCAATTTTTTTTTTTATATAAAATAATATTAAAAAATATTTCTGAAATATTGTATAATTCATTAAATTAAATTACATATAAAACTAAATTAGTAATACTGATAGAAATTGTTTAGTTACATCATACAGCTCTTTGCCATATTAACTAAATATATAATTATTAATTATTGAATTCGTGTTAATTATTTTCATGTAACATAATATATATTAAAAGACAATTCAGTTTTCAAATAAGCTATAATAAAATAGTAACAATATCAATTATACGATTGTATTTACTATTATCGTATTAAAATCGTTTATTAAGTCAGTTTGAATATTATTATGATGTACTAATTCATAAACGAATGATAATAATTTTTACAGAATTATTTACATTACATAAGAAATTTAGTTAAAAAATAAATATTTAGAAATATTTATATTTGAAAATATGATTAGGAAACAAGTTTACTATCAATAATGTTAGACAGAAAAATTCTTTAAAAATGCATTCTTAAATATACTGATTGATTGTAATTTGATAAATTTATTTCTTGAAATCAATGTACTTCTAATATGTATAAAAAGACTAAGTTTATAATTGAAACTCTGAAAGTTATTCAATATCAATATGTATTCATATTCTAAAAATATTTAAATATATATTATTTAAACAATAGCTATTGGTTAAAAGCGTGAAATTTTAACGTAAATATTGTTTTATGCCTTACCTATTTCGTCTAAGTTTAATCCATAAATATCAAAAGAATCTGGAAAATAAACATTACCGTAGCCTTTACGACCAATTGTAAAATGAGGTACAATACAAGTTTTATCATTAGCATATTTGTATAAGATATCGAGAGATGGAATTGTGTAATATCCATAACGTTGAAGTTTTATGTTAGCTTTATTCGTTGACTCATCTAGCTGTATCAAGTTTGATATTTCATCAGTTTCAGATGCTTGACTTTCATAAATGCTTGAATCATGACTACTTTTATCTGTAGCAGTATTAAATTCTGCTATCCCTGTTATTGGTAAATTATTTAGTATATTTGATTCATTTTCAGATCTTATTGCTGATCGTAGTTCTGTAACTGTATTTTCCAATTCTATTGCTGCTGTTGGTAATTCAGATGTAGATGAATATCCAGTTAGTTGATCAGAGAATTCTTCATCGATAATTTTGGATTTTCGCGGAAAACTAGTTTTTAACCAAGAATTAGAAGATCGTCGATCACTTGGAAGTCTATTAGTTTCTTCAATTTTATTTTCTTTATCAGTTTGTTGATTAACAGGAGCTAAATTATTTTTACAATCAGTTTTCGAACTTTTATCAGATTGATCAATTAACGTGTTTAATTTTGGCCTCAACACTAAACGCTTTGTATTTGGTCGAGGTTGAAATGCCTCTAATAATGGATCTTCATCCTCAAGTCCATCGAAAACAGATTTCTGAAAAGAAGATTTATTTAAATAACGACCTTAATTATGGCATGTTTTAGACTATTATTTTTTATTAACACTATATAGAACATATGTATAGTTTATGCCTTGTACGAACTTTGCGATAGTACTAATGTAAGAAAATGTTTGCACGATCATTTACGATACATATGATTTAAAGTACTTAAACAAAGTCAACTAAAATACGTCTTTCGTCAGTATATATAAAAAAGACAAAATATTTTTTGTCATCGAATAATATAACACTATTTATTTGTATACTGCAGTACGAGCTATATTTAATTGGATTTTGTGAGAGAATTAAAGAAATAATTTAACTTACCATCAAAGCATAATAGCAATTTTACATATCTTAACACAATTAATAAATATTTAGGAATCAATTCAAATAGTTAATTACCAACTAATAAATTAACGATTTATTTATTTTTATAGCGATTTGATGATTGAGAAGACCAATTTAGCATGGAATATATATTTACTCGAAATTCTCACGCTGTAATAAGTAATGACAGAAAAACAAAATATGAAATGTAACTTATTTAATTAGTAAATAATTGTTTAAAAATTCAATTGTTGTCAATTGGTTCCCAGAAAATACAATTGAGGAACATGCTGATATTAGATAATCAAAGGATACATATTTAAATAAAAATTTATCTTTGCTTTATTTGTAAAAAATTAATTTTAGATATAAAATTTAATTTGAACGAAATTGTTTGATATATATATATCTTAAATACTGATTTTCACTGCTCCTACTTTCATTTCAAATCTACGATTGTCGATATGATTTTGTTCAAACCATATGAATGATCATATACAAATTGGTCGACTTAAACACAAATAATTTAATTGATACAACGATATTCTATAGAAAATATAAAACATTTTATATAACCTATTTTATGATATTTTTAATTAATCATAAATCGAAAAATTAATACTATTATATTTTATTTAAAATTAAAGTAATTACATTCATACAGTGATCTAGTCAATTCTAGTGATAAATTTTGTTCTTTCAGAAGTTAATCATGAGATAATATTAAAATATGTGATTCCGGAACTAATCAAAACCAATCTTTAATGCTCAGAGATAAATTCGCTAGAAATTATTTTTTAAGTTAATTTTTAATAAATATTTAATTACAAGCAATTTTCTGATCAATCTTTTTTTTGGGACTTCAATTGATATATTAATACAATTTTTATTGATTCCTTTTAAAAGTAAATTATTAAATAAATATACTATGATTTTAAAAATTTATGGAAAAATTTATTTATTGGCTAAATAAAATACTCTGTTAATATTTGTTAATTTTATTTTGTAAAACATTTACTATATGGTTTTTGTTTTGTTAAGTTTCGTCAAAAATTAAAATGATTTTAATCTAAAGTCATTAACAAATTATTTTATGTAATATAAATTTTAATTTTTATATTTTCATTAAATCCAATTTATTAATTTATTTATTTTATTCTAATTACTTAATGTATAATATGAACTAAATTTAAATCATATGGTTAACATTTTTTTTGTATGTATTTCATTACAAAATTCAATTTTGTCCATTAAATATTTTAATTAAGATTGATTTTTGTATAATATAACGATACCCTTCATAGCCAATATAGTTATGTACTGTATATTCTAGTGTTGTTACATTTATAATAATGTAGCAAATATTATATTATAGTACAAAATAGTAATTTATTTGTTAAGTAAAATATATCCTGATGATGATAAAAGCAGTATAAACTGTTTAATACCAATTCTTATGGGATTTATACTTACAGAAATTATTTTCATATAATATAAAAATATCTAAAAGTTCTTTAGTAGTTAATTATCATTATTCTTGGAACTAACCAGATGAATAAACTATACACGAAATTTGACGATTTGAAAATTTCAACGGTTTATAGGATTTGTGTAAATTTTTTTATGTGCCATAATTAATTTTATTAAATTTATTAAGGTTATTTAATAGAATAATATGAATTTGTACATAATAATTATTTAGAAATTGGATTCATTATTTTATTATATTTGAAATATTTTAAAAATATTACAATTAAATGTGTTAAGAATGAAAAGTAACTATATTAACTTATTTAAAATATATAATCATATAGTATATCATATAGTACTAGATATTCTATCTAGACAAATGTTAATAAAGAAATGTATAATATTCTATTAAATTATTTTTATTTATTCTTAATTGAAATTATTAAAGAAATATACCTTTGACAAAGGAACACATGTAACAAGTTTAGGTTTCAATTTTGTAGCATTGTTATTTGTTATTATCTTGTAATGTGGATTGTTTAAGGCTTTAGTCACAGTATTTGATGGTTTTAAAAACTGCTCACTTTTTCCTGATGCCTGGAAGATGAAAATATAATGCCATATGTAATATTATAAATTTATAATAAATATAATAAATAAGATATAATATAATAAATATGATTATATTATTTTATAGTATACAGTAAAAATAGGCTTAGCTATGCTTTTTGTGGCATCAACTATATGGGATATGCTTTATAATACATATTAATTATTAAATGAGAACTTAGAATATTTTATATTCATAATATTTATATTATTGTATAAAAATGATAATTTATATCTATACCAAATGCTTTTAGTTGTACATTTACGATAATTGCCTAATAATGCAAATATCTTAATGTTGATAACTTGTATCTCTAATATTAGAAAAAATATCAATAGCAACTATGTTTGCTATTTAAATGATAAATTATTTATTATTCAATTAAAAAATGCCTTTATAAGGCATTAATTTACACAAATATAAATAAATTTTAATTCAATTTAATAAAATATAAACAAAATATTATAATTACAGTTACTTCATGTTGTTATAAAAACATTTATCCTTTAAATTAATTAATGCAAAAAAAATATATTGTACACACTATTAAGCTTAAATAAATGAATAAATAGAAATTTAATATTTCAAACGTTAATATTTGTTTAAACAAATTTATTAACTATCATTTAAATTGTTAGATTATTCGTTTTTACTTATATTAATTTTTGCTTTTTATAACTTATATTATTTTAATATCTAGTATATTATAAAAAAGAAACTTTGTTGAAATTTGAATTATTTTTAATTTAAGTAGCTTGATTAATGCTTTTATGTATTATTATATACAAAGTTTTATATAATTCATACATTGCTTGATTATATAAAGTATATTTGTAAAAATTGAAAATTCTTTACAAAAAATAAACAAAATAGAAAATTATTTTGTATACATACAGGTAACAGATTTTTTAATAAAGGCGAATCTCCAAATGGTGCTGAAACCAATGCTAAAATTTGTTGGTGAACAGGTACTGGACCAGTGTTATGGTGAACATTATTAATGCACATTCTATTAAAATAATTCAATGTAAGATATCTCAAATTAAATATGATTATTTTATCAAAGTTCTCACCCAGGTGCAAATAAATTTGTACCAAGTCCTGAAACTGTGCTACCAGCAGATCCAAAGTTTTGTAAGGATCCAAAGGTTCCTGTAGTATTAAAACTTGTAGTAGTACCAGCATTACCAAAAAGATTGGGTTTAGTTGAAGTATTAAACAATGAAGTTCCAGAAGAGCCTAAGATCAAAGGTTTTTCTTAATTAAAGGTTGGGTATTTGTTAAAACATTTAATTGAATTCATAGTAAGCAATAAAACTTTTATTAATCAATATTGATAAATAAGTCTTCATAATTATAAGAACTTTAAATATAAAGTTAATTTTACATTTATATTTAAAAGTAACTTACTAATTCTGTCATTAATCTAATAAAATGTCTTTTAAAAAATGTATTATTCTATTTCTTTTATTTTTTAATTTATTAATTTTACTTCTTACATTTTACATTTGATTTTAATATAAAAAAACTGTTTATTAATTACAAGTAAATATTCAAGAAATGAAAGTTGAATTATATGGCATGAATGGCACAGTAGAAATAGAGAAAGTGAAAAAAGAAGAAAAATAAAGAGTAGAAAACTGCAGTACTAGGTTTAAGATCAATAACAAAAATTAAATAAAATCCACTGATTAAGTTTCTTAAATAAAAAATATTTATTGTATGTAAATTAAAAATCTTGTTCAACATCTTTAATTTCTTTTATCTATTTACCAGTGTACAGTAGACTCCTGAATTTTTTATTAAGCTAAAATTTTACTTAGTGCATATGAGTAGATATTTGTGAAATTTATTCTCAACTTCGAGCTTTAAATTCAACAATATGTTAAACTTATTGTAATAATTATTATAAAAATTATTTGATTTGAAGAAAATAGAAATTTTAAGTTTGACATGTTAAAATATTCGTAATTACAAAATTCAAAAGTAAATAAAAAATTAATAAACTAGTTTATTGTTCAAAAATATAAATAATATAATGGGAATACAAATTAAAAATCATATTTACCTAATCCTGTAGAAGCAATGCTCGAAGCGTTACCGAAAGTAAAACCGGCTGATTGCCCTGCAGGCTTAAAAGAATTAGTAAAAAGTGATGGATTTGAGTTTGATACAGATCCAAACCCTGTATTTCCACCCTGTAGTGGAGAAGTTACTGTGCCACCAAAAGCTGTTCCAAAGCCAGTTCCAATTGGTTTTGTGCCAAATAAGTTGGTAGTGTTTGTTGTTGATGATTGACCAAATGCAAAATTTGATGAAGTTGATAACGGCATATTAAAAGCAGGTTTATTTTGAGCGTATAATCCTATACTCTAAAAATAAAGAATTTTAATACATTTTCAATAGTTAATTTATATACAGATAATATAAGCTAATTTAATTTGAGTTACATACTTGATTTGGTTGACCAGAGCTAAAAGTTGTGCCAAATCCAGTATTCTGAGTATTTATATTTCCAAAGGCACTTCCTGGTGTGGAGGTTGTATTATTAGCTGCAAACAAAGGTGTTGCTGCTGTAGCTCCAAATGGCTTAGATTGAGCATTAAAGAGACTTGAAGACGTTGTTGAATTAAAGGCAAAAGCACTTGAAGTAGTAGAAGGAACACCAAAACTTGCTATAGGTTTAGAAAATAGTCCAGTATTACCGGATTGATTTGCATTACCAAATCCACCTGTTATTGCTCCAAATCCTAAAAATGAATAGATTTTTCATTTAAAATTCATGGACTTGAATTATATCGTTTGATTATACAAAATATAATATAACCAGAGTTTGCAATATTACTATTAGATCCGACATTGCCAAATGGAGATCCCTGTGTAGCTGTACCAAATATTGTATGAGATTGTCCTAAAATAGAAATAAAATAGAATATGATGATGACTATAATAAAAATTTATTTACCTTGTGTGACACCTTTGCGTCCAGCCGTATAATCTTCTAAACGTAATTCTTCCAAAGATTTTGATTCATATTCATTCATGCATGTTATACAGTGATGTCGTGTAGAGATAGTTTGCGTTACTCCATTTTTAACCATTGTATCAGTACCAGTGACAGGGCTAAACTTGACTAATGTTCCAGAAATTCCAGTAACATTATTTGCAGTACCAAATCCTACAAAATATATTACAAATATACATGACAAAATATAATAAAAAATATAGAGGAAAATAAAACAGTCAGTAAATATTTTACAATATAATATATATTATGTAGATATCCAGTTATTTTTAAAATTTTATGTTTATTAAGACATTCTCAAATGTCTTAATATTATAAATTATGAGTTTTATTTGCAATAAATGCATAATATAGGTATGTTTTAAAATTTTATTTTCATTTGAATTCCACAGCAGAAACTCTTCAGAATAGTTAACTTATACTTAAATACATTCTATAACTTCTATTCAATTTAATCTGTAAGTTTAAAACTAGTTGCTGAGCAACATTATAAATTTCATTATTCCTATTTTCATATGTAATACCATTTATATGCAAGCTGAAAAAAAGTTATTTTACAGAAATTACTTTTGATTTCAATTACCTTTTGTCAAAATATTATTTTGTGTGAGAACTATTTACAAAATTATGATGTGTTTAGAATTATAATGAGTTTGAATTTGAATTATTTTACTAAAAGAACTGTAACACGATAACACGATATTTAATAAATTCTGTCCTTTTTTTCATAAAAATTATTCATACCTATAAAAACACATATGTATTTGTGAATAAAACTAAGAGTAGCCTTAGTAGATTGAAAAAACAAATGTATTATAATTTTTTATAATTATATAATATTGATTATCCACAAATTATATTTTGTTCCCAAAATTTAATTTTTGTATTATAATAGTTAAAGGTAATAAATAACATTATTAAAATATTATTAAACCTGAAGTTGTTCCAAAAAGTCCTGTATTTCCAGAGGCTGTTGTTTGGCCAAAGGGTGTAGTTTGCTGTGTTACTTGTTGTTGTGGTTGACCAAAAAGACTAGTTCCAGTTGCTTGTCCAAATCCAAATGTTGCAGGTTTATTAGTCTGACCAAAAGCTGGTGTTGAATTACTAGTTCCAAAAAGATTTGTGTTTGCATTTTGTTGTGCTCCAAATAATGTAGAGTTTGTATTTGTCCCACCAAACCCTAAAATTATAATATTTTTTATAAACTGAAATACAAACTATATAATGATTATAGATTATTACCTCCAAATGAAGACTGTGTTGCAGTACTTGCTCCAAAAGTTGGAGTAGTAGTTGTATTTCCAAATAAATTACCAGAAGTCGAACCTGCTGGTTTTGAACTAAAGAGAGATGTGTTACTTCCAAAAACTGGTGGGGCACTAGTTCCAAAACTTGTAGTTGCAATAGTTTTACCAAAAGCTGATTGTCCAAATGGACTATTTTGTGCAGATGCATTGAATCCTATACAAACAAAGAAAGAATTACATTAATTTATATAAAATTTTAAAACAAAATTTGTTCAAATAATAATTAAATTACCAAAAGAAGGATTTCCTGGTTGACCAAACATCATGCAAAATTATACACTAGTTGAATATACAATTAAAATTTTACAATTCCAATCTGAAATCAAATAATAATTATTCACATTTTCTATTAGTAATTAAGTACTTTACATGTTGAAATAATGTACAAAATTTTGTCTGTTATTAGTACTTTTTAAGAAATATAAATTAATAATAATTAAATTATTATAATTAATTAAATTGATTCCCAAAAGAAAAATAATATTTTTATTAAATTTCATTATATATATCATATATAACTAAATTTTAATACATTATAAAAATACATGTAAAAATAAGGAATAAGAATAATCAAAGAATATAATAAAGTTTTAATGGATTTGTATTACATTTAAGGTAAACTATTTATGTCCATGGCAATCCAACATATAAATTTTGTGTCCAATTTTTATGACTCTGATTGGTAACATTTTTCATAACAATTTTGAGTAATTTATTGTCAAATAATGAATTATTAATTTATAATAATAAAGATATAAACTTAAATTATTAAATATTTAATTGTATACTATTTTATTAATTGAAATATCAAATTTAAAACCAAATTTAAATCGTTTAAAATCAATTTTTTTGAAAGCTTTAAATATTTAATTGTAAGAATTTAATAATTGTTTGATTTCGTAAATATAAATCATAAATGTGTGGACATGCAAGATTTTATAAATAAGAATATAAATATTATCTTAAGTATTTAATACTTTACTTTCATATCTTGACATATAATGGTACTATTAATGTTATATGTATAAAATATACAATTTTAATAATTTCAATAAAATGATTATTAAAAAAGTTAAAAGAAATGTATTTCAATAAAAAATTAATATTATTTATATTATCAATTATAAGTATTATGATATTATAAATATTAATTGAAGAATAAAAACAAAATTGTGTATATAGTTTATAAATACGACAAAATAAATATGTAATTATAAATTATATAATCCGATTCCACAATAAGCTTAAATTATAAATTATGAAAAATTATAAGCTGAAATATAAAATTTTATTTTTATCATATCATAGCCTCAAATTAATATGTATATATAAATTTTCTAAAAACTTTTAAGTTCGTATTAATTAAACATATAAATAAAAACTAATTTTTTTGTTTTTATTTGAGAAATTAATAGTATATTTGTACTTATTTTAATTTTAAAACTGCAATATAAGTTTACATATTTATTTGCTTCTGTAAAAGTTTTTCTTTAAAATACATAACTTATAAGTCTTCAAAAAAGTATTCACATATACTTTTTTGCTTTGAACTACCTATATTACGAATGAATAAAAGACGAGTATATGTAAAGCTAATTCATTATCTATATATTATCTATATATTTTCTTTGAAATACATAAAATTATACCAAACATATTTCTATATTATTTCTGTTTTCTATGCAAATAAAGAAATAACATCTCTATTTATTTTTAATCTTCAACAGGAATAATTAATCATTTATTTTAATTGACTACATACTTTATGCGTAAATACTTTGTACATTTAAAAAAAATGTATGCTATGTTTATGTATAAAAAAGAATTTAATTGATATAAAGTACGTATTTTAAAATTTAAGTTAAAAATATTTTATACACTTCACCTGCAATGTTTTTATATTGTGATTTGTCGTAAGAACTTATAAATTTATACAATTTACTATCAAAATATTCAATATTCACTTATTCGTTTTCTTAGCATTTTGAGTGCTAATACCAACTGTTAAAGTGATCTCAAAACACAGTTTTAATCAGTGATAGTAGAGTGCACTGAGTGAAACATGCGCAATAGTTGTCCAAGCTTCTTCACTTTTAATGACGAATACAATACGATGTATTGAAAATTAAATATTTTAAATATAATAATATTAATAATGTACATATAAATCATTTTATCAGCAAGAATGTATATTATAAATTTGTAGATATTTTTTAATGTATATTTTTTAATATAATTATTAATATTTTTACTTTTATATACTTTAAACGGAATATGCTTTATTTACTAATTAAACATTTATTTTCTATTTTAACTTTTAACAAGAAAATATAACAATATAAATATGTAGATCTCATTTAATTTATGTTCGTAAGTATATAAAAAATTAATCGAAAATTTCAGAATATATATTGTATTTTTACGGAACTCAATTTACTTATATTGTGCATATTTGAAAATAATAATACGAGATAAATTATATTATGCATGTATGGATATCAGTTTAATAAAATATAATATTTATGCATTGGAAAAGGAAATATGATGCATATAAAGCATGCATATAAAGATATGCATTGGAATATGAAATATGGTGTTAAAAAACTATAAAGTCTAACTTTTTACAAGTTTGATATTTAACTATATCTCGTATATTTGATATTTTTGTCGATGCAAAGTAAAATGCGGAGGATGAACACTGCGTTACTCTAAATATCTCTTCTATAATTATATGATTGGTAATGAATATTTAGTATCGTGATTAGATGTACATGAATTTTTCGATTTCTTATTTTGTAAATCGCCATTCAATAATAACTTCTCTATTTTTGGACTTGACTTGAAATGTATTTCTAAGATGTAAAAAGTTTATTGTATTGTTACAATAAATCGTTACGGTTTTTGAAATACGATATTTTGACATGTCAACGAATCTTAAGCAGAAATTTTAATTTATATAGAATATATCAAAATTTAATAAAAAAATTTATGGTATATGGTATATGGTATAAAAATTTTTGTAGAAAAATATGAATTAAAATTAAAAAATGCAAAGGAAAAAGTCAATATTACTACTTATTCCAAACTTATACCAAATTTATTCAATTTTAATTGTAACATAGTTGGACTATTTTTTGATAGCTTAGGTATGTTTATATAAAATAGCCATTAGCAATTATATTTGGATAATTAGAAAATAAACATAATTCTATTAAGTATGGCGAAAACAAAATTATTTAAACATTTAATGTAATATTCTTGAAGCTGGTCGCTATGAAAGACTTTGTGTCTTTATTTTAGTATATTATGCATCATCCAACTTTAAATTACAAAGAATCACCTCGATAAAAATTGTTATAACAATGCGGCTTATCCATTTGACTCAGATATTGATTAATTGGTACGGATAACGTTTTAATAAAATGTTCTGGAAGACCATAAAAACTATTATGCACTAAAATTTGATATGTAAAAATCATTTAAGGGTATTTAAAAGTTGAATCAAATCATTAGATATTTAATAATTTAAAACTTTTTATAATCCTATTAGTTTTTAGAGCAAACATTTTTGCTTTATAATTTACATGATATTATTTATTTTTTAATCTTAAAATATTACGAAATTATACATGTATTATATAATATAATATATTCTATATACCAATTACGCATTCCAGAATTATATATGTTTGAAAAAATTCCTGAATAGTATAGTTGCTGGATTTTATAATCGTGACATTACCTTAAGTCAGGCTTAAATTGTCAAATACATATCCTGTAGCTGATGAACAAGTTTTGTTGAAGAGGAATACGTTGTCTTTATCAATAGATACTGCAGTATATGTGGAATATATTAAGATGTTAACATTTATTACAGACGTATTTATATTAATATGTTAATACTTTTAAAAAATCGAAAATTAAATGAAATATAAACAAAAAGAGTATGTATAAAATATAATACATTTTGTTATTAATATAGATGTTTAACATTTGAACAATTAATTGTGTATAATTTCATTAAATTTTTAGAATTCAAGGGGATAATTTTTCATTGTACAGAATTAAATTATATTATCTAATTTATTTATAAAAATGGCTGACAATGAGCAAAAAGCTATGCAATTAATAGCAGAAGCAGAAAAAAAACTAACTTCATCTAAAGGTTTTCTTAGTTCATTGTTTGGGTAAGTAATAAAATGAATGTTTTTATATTTGTATTATATTTATTATTTGTAAAACTATACAATTTAAAATTATAATCTATTCATTGTATAGTAAAAAACTAAATAGTTTTGTTGGTTGTAAATATCAAATAGTTAATATTTTGTCAGGATTGTTGTGGACTGTAATTTACTATGGAATAGATACACAGATTTATGAATTTATATTGAAAATTTTATTTAAAAATTTGTTATACAACCGTACCCATACACATGTACTATATAATATTTAAAAATTTATTTAGTTTTAATAGGTAAAAACTATCTTTTTGTAACATGATTGTATCAAGCATTTTATATTAATTAGATTTATAATTGCTGATGTAATAAGTAAACTATTATAAAAAATTATAATAGAATTAAATATATAATGTCGTAGTTATTAATATAAATATTATTTTTCATATTAATAAGTTTATATATTTTCAAACCCGATGTTCAGAATAAAATGAATCACTTAAGAATAATATTATTTAATAATGTAGTTCGATAAATTCAATGTATTTTGTATTATGTATTTGTATACCTTGGTGTGCGCATAAACTATACATATATGTATGTATATATAAATATTAATAAATTTATGCATTTCCTTTAATAATTTCACGTGATTGTTAACTGATGTATCTTATGTTATTAATTAAAATGATAAAATCTTTTTTAATGTTCTTATACTTAAAATTTAAAAATATTGTATATCAGTAAAATGAAAATATATAAACCCTCTAATGAAATATGTGATACAATTTTATTTTTTCAAACTTTAAGCATAATTAGTATCTTTCCATTTATTAAGGAGATAGTGAACAGATAGTGTAATGATTAAGAAGATTAATTATTATTTTAAAATGTTTAATGTTGTATACAAATAAAACATTTTCAATCATTTGACTTATATAATAATGCAGATTTTAATACAACAAATATAACAAAAAAATATTTATTAATGGACAAATAGCAATTAATAGAAAGCATAAATAGATGTAATTTTGCGATAACATATATATGCATTTTTAATGAGTGTACTATGGTAGGAAAGTGAATTAATGGATGCAAAGTACAATATTTTAATAGATTATACTAACAGTTTCCAATAAAAAAATATGTATTAAGCCATTGATTCACTCCACATATGATAATATTAAATGATTAGATATTAATTATTTAAAGATCCAACTAAATAATTTGTCTTATATGATGTATTTAAATATACAAATACGTAAATATATATAAAACGTATATATAAAAGTAATTATTTGCTTATTGATAACAGGAAATAGTTTTTATTATTTTTACTATCTATTAATTTTCAAATATAGTTTTATTGGATTCATTTAAATATTTGTTAAATAAATATCTTAATAAAAAGTTAAAATTCCTTAAAAATCAATTCATATTGTTAAAAACTTTGCAATTTATTATAATGTGTAGATGCATACATACACATGCATACAACTGTGAAACTAACATTAATATCATAAGTAGTTAATAATGCCAAAAGAAAGTATGATAAAATTTAATTTAAGTGCTTCCATTAATAAAAATGCGTATATCCGGATTATTTATTATATATTCCGACTTTAACTAATCTAAAATATTTTCATCTCTATATTCATTTTAGTAAACACTTTTAATGAGGTTACACTTGACAATAGTAATGTCTATAGTACCAAAATCTCGGCCTTTTAAAGGTATTATGACACTTGCCACTGATTAAAATCACTTGGCAACGAAATAATAAAAGCAATCGTGAAAATTTATGTAAATTATAAATTCTATACATTATGAAGCAATATATAAAGTTTTTTTTTTTATATTATATTGAAAACATTAAATGAGAGCAATCAAGTGTTGCATATATAACATAATTAATATACTGATCTAATATGACAGCATGTTTGTAGATTTTATTACCAAAAAGACTTAGAAGATAAATATTTCTGTTCTCTTCAATAATACTATTATTTAATTTTTAAGTAAAATTTTCAACAAAGAAAATTGTATATGAAGGTGAAGAATTCGATCACTTAGAAAGACTGTTGAATAATAAAAAAAGAAATAATTAACAATATAAAATGCCGAGGAAGAAAATATAAATAAATATATATTTAAATATAAAAAATTATATTTTATTTCTGGAATTTGACAAAATACATTAAACAAACAGCTGAAAATCAGCAAATGAAAATGTTAAGTCTTGACTTATGCTTATAAACAAACAGCTGAAAATCAACAAATGAAAATGTTAAGTCTTGACTTATGCAAGTACAAAGTTATACGCTAATCGGAGGTACATATATTATAGTGATTTTGTTTTTTGATGCACTGGTTTCAAATGTGATTGAGGAGGCAGTTTAGCTTTAAAGGGCCATATTAAAATTATGAAATTATTAATATTGTATTAGTTAAAACATTTTTACCATGTATATCTTCAAATTGATTTTTTAGTTTTTACTATATACTGCCATCTGTGAGAGCAAATCAAACAAATCTTGCATTTACAACCGAAATAGCTGGCATAGAGGTGTAGAAGAATTGATACAGCACCTTATGAGATAAAATATATTTATTTTTATTTTGTGTTATATTAGCATGTGAATACATAAAAAATTAAATTGTAAAAATAATAAAAAATTAAAATAAAATTCTAATTTAAAATTGAGAATGAGATAGGTTTAAATACAATTGTTGTAACTATGAATGGAGTATTATTTAATAAAATTATCATAATTATAAAATTTTTATTAACATTTTTATAAAAATAATCAATTTTGTTAATTTAATGATAACACGAAGAGCAACATTTAGTCAGAAATTGAAATTATTTTACTGCATGTGACATATTCTGTGTTACAATTGATATCTATGATTATTTGTAGAAGTGAGATCATTTTTTAAATTCTGAAGGCAGTAAATTTAATTTTAAATCTCTTTACATATTAATATATCACCACTTAATATTTTTAAGATAAAAATATTTTATTTAATATAAATTTTAATAATACAAAACTTTCAATTTGATTTTATTTTAATCATTATTTAATCTTAAACGTGGTAAATACTCAACCTTTGATATAATCTTCTTTACAAAAAATACATTTATTTAAATAACGAATAATTTAGGAAGCTGAAATACCTTTTATAAATTTAAAATTATAAATTATTAATTAGGAAATATTATTTCTAATTATTTGTTTTAATTTAACGATTTAAATTATTTCTGTTTGAAAGTTTTGACATATTAATAAAAATCATATCTAATAATTATTGTGAACAATAGTCTTAAATTTACGTTATTTATCAGTGAATATGATTAAGTTTTATAAAAAAATAAAATATAACTTATAATATTAAACTATATTAATAAAAATTTTATTATCAATCTTTTTATTATCAATTATAACAATGAGCCTAAGATAGACGTAAAGATAATGTAATATTAAGTCCACCAAATCTTTCTAACATTCTGCATCGATATCTGTATTAGATCTTTTGATGGATTTTTTTCTTCCCTTTTTAAATTTCTTTTGTAAACATTGTTCACATCATATTGTTTTATTGCGCAATAACAAAATAACATAGTGCTTTATTATGTGTGTGTATATATATATATATATATATATATATATATATAAATGAATAAACAATGATTAATTTAATCAAGTTGTAAAATTCAACCAAAAATATTTTAACAATTTATATAATAATAATAATAATTTTTCATTTTCTAGCTAAATTAATATAATATAGTTCAATCAATTATTTTAATTAGAGATAGAATATTACTTACGACTGTTAAAAAAGTATTGGATCATTGTGAAATACATTTAATATGTTATATTTTAAGACAATTAAAAAAATCAATTTTATCTATATCAATCTTATTGTAATTTAAGGGATATGTAGTTTATAAGTACAAACTTGTAGCACTACTTGATAATTGACTCGGAAAGTCATGACGGTGGCCACGTATTATAATGCGAAGTATACTTTCTTTTATCATGGTTTATAAAATATATAAATATAATTAAAAACTATAAAATCGATTTATTAACTTTTAAACAGTAATTAATACAGATTGTCAATAATAAATACGTAAAAATTAAATTAATTCAGTAAAACAGAAATGTAACTATAAAATTTAATTACTTACTGTTTGCATTAATAATTTTTTGCAAACTTTTGAAGATTAATTTATCGTAGTTATATATCATAAGTTATAAATTAATTGATTCATTACAAATTTAAACAAATAAAAATTATGGTCTTTTATGCAAAAACATAATGACAAAAATTTTGATAATTTTTTTGTACATTGAACTATATATAATAATAAATGATGTATAATTAGAGGATCTTCAAAAGTAGAAGAAGCTGTAGAATCTTATCAAAGAGCTGCAAATTTATTAAAAATGGCTAAAAAATGGAATGAATCTGGAAGCGCTTTTTGTCAAGCTGCAAATCTTAATGCAAAAGCAGGTAGTAGACATGATGCAGCTACCAATTACATTGATGCTGCTAATTGTTATAAAAAGTCAGATCCTACTGGTAAGTATTTTATTAAAATACAATTTATTTAATAGTTTGAATATATATTTATTCTATTTAACGTTACAGAAGCTGTAAATTGTTTATTAAAAGCTATAGAAATTTATACTGATATGGGTCGATTTACTATGGCGGCTAAGCATCATCAAAATATAGCCGAAATTTATGAAAATGAAGCAGTGGATTTAGAAAGAGCAGTTAAGCATTATGAACAAGCTGCAGATTATTTTCGTGGTGAAGAAAGTAATTCATCCGCCAATAAATGTTTATTGAAAGTCGCCCAATATGCTGCTCAGTTAGAAAATTATGACAAAGCAATTGAAATTTATGAACAGGTAGGAAAAAATTATGAATTTTTTTATATTAATTTTCATTTAATTGTATACTTAAATTTTTTTACTATTTATCATATTTATTGAGTTACATGTAATTAATAGGTGGCAGTTGCGTCATTGGATAGTTCATTATTAAAATATAGTGCTAAAGAATACTTTTTACGAGCAGCTTTATGTCACTTATGTGTAGATGTATTAAATGCTCAACACGCTATCGAACGTTATCAAGAACAGTGCCCTGCATTTCAAGATGTTCGAGAATACAAATTAATTAAGGTAGAAAATTTTATTTAAAAAAATTATAGTATTAATATACTTATACAATTATTTTAGATTTTAATAGAACATTTGGAAGAACAAAATATTGATGGTTTCACAGAAGCAGTAAAAGAATATGATTCGATTTCACGACTAGATCAATGGTATACAACAATGCTTTTGCGAATAAAAAAACAAATCAATGATAATCCTGATCTCCGTTGAATTGCATTACTATTTATGAATTTCATTTATAGATAATTCCAGTGTATATTATCTTATCTAATACTGTGTATATCTAAGTGCGTGCGTATGTGTACGTACGCGAGAGCGTACGTCTCCATACAAAATAGTTTATTTAATAGTGTATTAAATCTTATTAAAATATTTATGTAAATGTTATAAACAAGTATAATGAATAGAAAAATAGCTAATATTGGTTTCTATAAGTCTTAAACTAAACATAAAATGTAATCCAAATTCCATTATTTAGAAATGTAAACATTAAATGTTTTAAAAAATACATAATTCATAGGTTTATAAATTTATTCACATTAGTATAAATTAATTTTCTGCTTTTAATCTTTCCACCTTTCTATGCAATTTTCATTATCGTTTGTACTTTTTATTCTTGAAATACTTATTCTAAAATAGATATTAAAGAAATCATCAAAATTAAACGAAATTTCAAGATTAAATACTAAAACTATTATATTGTTTTTAACTTCCTTATTTAATTTTAAAGTACGAAAAATATTGTCAGAAAAGTTTCATTTAATTTTCATATGTTTTGTAATCCACTTATTCAATGTATTTTCACAATGCCACTAATAATCTAACAACAACAAAATTGTGAAAGTTATATTTCTTTACAAATATGTTTAAATATGTATAACTAAATTAAAATAATAGTAATCTAAGAATCATAATTTCATGACTATTACTACAAGCAAGTATCTTTGTAGAATAATTTATTTCATCTGCTATGTTTAAGTAAAATATGTTATATTGCAAAATGCATATGTCATTAATATTTTTCATAAATGAAATTATTATTTGGTGATTCATGATCCAGCTATTGAAAGATTTGAGCGAATATAATTTTTTTTTTAAAACAGTATTTTCATACCAAAAAAATATATAAGCTCTTAAGCCGTAATATACATAGTTCAATGTTTTTACACTGATTTTTTATGAATATTAGAACACGATTCATTTGTATTTTTATTAACGATATTTAAGAGTGTATTAACATTTCTCATTTATCTTTTAAATACTGTAAAAATCATGATTTGTTAAATTTCTAATAAAATATACTTAACAATTTTTTTAAAAACTATATTGTATAATAGCAAAAACTAAAAAAGAGAACAGATGATAATGCATCCTATTGTTCTATGTATTGTTGCATTAAAAAATGATTAAGATAACATAATAATAGTATAATAAAAGAAACTTAAGTCCAAAATAATGCAAATATTTCAATTAAAATTGGATGTACTCTCCACACATACAAAATATATAATTTTAAAATAGTAACAGAATAAGCAATATGTTTATACATATTGTATATAATTGTCTTGAGCTATTTTCTTTTTAATTAATTGTTCCCTTACAGTTATTATCATTAGTTATGCTTCTTGTTGGTTATTATAAATAATGTTAATATAATGTTAATATAAATAAAGTGCTCTGAATGTTTTAATGTCTGGTTTGATTCAAACATAAAACATTTTAGTAAGACTAAATAAAAATTATTTTTAATTTTTGAAGAAAACTTATTTTTATAATAAGTACTAAAATTAACAGATGAGTGTGATGTATATAAATTTTGAAATTTTTATCTTTAAAAATACGAATAACAATAATGTAATTACAATATCCAAAAAAAGGACAAATTCTGAGCTGTTTGTATCTAGTCTATATATACAATGGTATTACTATTTTGTGTTAACGTTGAGTTGCTTTACTGTTGATTAACAGAGTAGAGCAAGATAAAAACATAATATTTTAAGTATTTAAAGACAGTGTATGAATTTAAAATATGTTCAATAATTCTGATTCATATATGAACAATTTTTTTTTAATTGATAATAATTATCAATTAATATTGCTTTACAGCAATCATTTGTAATAACCGAACTTTAATATTGAAACAAACTTAAATATCAATAATATAAAATTTGCTTGCATGAAAAATTGAATGATGTTAAATGTATAATCAATTAAATTTAAAACAACTAGATGTAGTAGTGAAAAGACAATTTTTTTATTACACCAAGATTTTTAGTTTGGATTAATTATAAAAATAAATGAAGTACATTCGTAGATAATAAAATGAATATATTTATACATAATATAAAAAAAATATATAAATTTTCTAATCTTAGCAAGTTATTGAACAGTAAAGATAATTACGTTTTGGTCAACACCTTTAAAAGAAAAACTAAAAATTTAAATGTTTAGTCTAATCAATAATCAATAACCCTTAATAAGTTTTTATAACAAAATTATATAATTGAAAGATGCGGTACACATAATGATAAACATAACGTTCAAGTATAAAATACTGTTTCTTTAATAATAGGAATAAGTTTACAATTTTTCTTTGTAAAATATGGGTGAATTAAAGGAGTAGGCAGTACATTGGGTTCAAGTGTTTTGAGTAATACGTTGACAAGTTTGAAAAATTATTTAAATTAAAACTATGTATAAATCATAATTAATTTCATTAATTATTAGCCTATTCTATACTAAATTATGATTTATTCTATTTTGAGCAGTCTACAATCCATGGACAAATATAATATTTTTTATAATAATTTGAATTAAGTATTCTAATTATAATATAATAATTATAATAAGTGTACTTAAACTATTTATGTAATTTATTTACGAAACTTTATAGATATATATTATAAACATAAATTTATTAAATATATTTTTGGATAATTTTACTTCTTAAAAATAACATACTACATATAATAATACAGATGAATTAGATTTAATAGAAATATCTGATTGAAAATTAGTATTTTCAAAAAATTATATTGTACTTCAAATTAATTATTGATTAACTAATTATTACGAATTATACAATTATAAAAATATATTTTAACTATTTACTTAAATTACTTCAATTACCATTAAATTGTTTTTTTTTTAATTTAAATTCATTTCTTAAATACCTAACATTTAAGTAAAATAATAAAATTATTTATAAATTATTTATTATAAATTAAATAAAAATTCTAAATTATCTATTGTATTATTATATTGAATTTAAACTTCTTATAAAAATAATTTAAATGAATAATTTTGAGTAAAAAATTTTGACACTCATAATTTTCAAAATTGATATTATTTATATTTATATTAAATATAAAAAAATTAGGCATGCCATGCACAAAGTATACGTACAATCTGTATATATTTAAATTATTAATTTAAATTTTTAGTGCGCATGCGATTTTTCCATGTTCTGATTTTCATGGCATCACTTCCTTTTTCTCGCACATGCGTAATTAGATAAGGATAGATCAGATAAAACTAATTTTTCTTTTTATTAACCAAATGGTTTCGGAACATTGGTATTAATTCTATCTACATTATATATATGTTTTCGATAGTATTTCTCTTATATTTATGTATTAGAAATAGTGTTTACAACAATGACTAATATATTAGATAAAATTTTTACTTTAATAATTTTACAAGCAGAATAAAGTGTTAATTAAAAAACAGTTTTATTTATATTTTAATATCGTACCTTTGTTTTTTAGAAAGCTAGTGTGATATACGTACATTAAGCATTCTGCATAATGTTGTATCATTTAAATAATTTTGTTGTAAATAACAATAGTTATTTAATTTACTTTTCTTGTATGCTGATTTTATTTTACATATAACAATTTTATTAATATATAATAGTGCATATTAACTTAATTCATTAGTAAATATTAGTTTAAACATAATTTTTTAACGAGTAAATTTATAAAAAATATAAAAGTAATAATGAGTCTGACATAAATAAAATTTAAGTGTTTATTAAAATAAAATATCATTGTTCGTATTTTTGATTATATAAATACATTTTCTATTGATAGATATGATTATTAAAATATTTGAAATGGTAAGTTCTGAAAAAAATTACACATAAAAATTACCTAATTTTTTATTTCTTAATTATCATGTATTATATAATTAAATTTTTTAAATATAAGTATAAATATTAATAATCTGAATTTATCATTTCAAACAGTGCATGTTAAATCTTTATTTATATAAACTATAACAAATTAGTAAATATAAAATAATGTAAATACCAAATTAAAAATTTAGAGAAATTAAAAAATTAAAATTTGGTAATTTTGACAATGTTTAAAAAAATTATTACAATTCATAAAAATAATTTATAAACAAAGAAATTATTTCATATTACAATATTAATGAAAAAATATTATGTTTCAAGAAAAAGAAATATTGGAAAGTAATATTCTAGAATTTAAAAATTGTTTTATTATAAATTATTTTAGTCAGGCTTGTACAAAACAGAATTATATACATAAAAAATAATCTACTTGATATTATATTTTTATATTGATATGAACTTAAGTTTATTTTGCTTCTCATTTATTATATTTATTAATTTAATGAAAAAAATATTTTTTATATTTTTTAAATATAATTTAATATTAATACTATATTGTTATTAAAATATAGTAATCTTTAATATATGAAATTTATTAAATTTAATTTCTCTTATAAAATCTTATAATTTAATTCTTTATATAATTCTATTTATATATTTGTATAATAATATTTTTAATTTTTTCAGTAATGTTTTATTATTAACAAAAATATTGTTGCTTTATTTATATTTCAGCAAATAATTTAAATATTCTTTTATTTAATATTTGAAAAATAATTATAAAAATAATATTATTATTGATTAATATATAATAAGAGGGTAATTAACTTAAGATACAATTAAATTTTTACAAACATAAGGATATTTACAAATTGATATACATAGAGTGTACTATTTTATGTAAAAAAAAATTAAATAATATTTTCAGCCTATTAAAATATTTTCTATGAAGGTTAGTAAAAAACATATTCAGTATTCAGAATTATTTGTATAATTGATGTATTTGTTTGAAAATTATATATTTTAATTTTACTTATATTATTATTTATAAAAATTAATAATTTATTGATATACTTTAATATTTTTCTTTGTATCAGCCTGTGTATCTTATCTTACTGATCATCATTTTAATATTTCAGATTACAATTTTTTCAAAAAAAATTTTTGATACAATTAAAACATTTGTATGAATAATACATTGAATGAATTTTAGTTATATTATTTCATTTAGACTTTATTTGTATATACTTTATTGAATTTATTGTCTAGTTATAATTAGTTCATCAATATTTTCCAAATAACATTTGATTTATTTTACTAACATGAATGTTATATTCTATTGTGATGTCACCATTTTGTAAAAATAATTATGATAAATTATAATTAAAGTTGGAAATATTATTTAAAGATAAAAATGTAATAAATTAGTGGGTTATTTTTTGTAGTGGTTATAGAATAAATTGTGATATTTTTGATCTTATCAACATAATTAATATATTTATATGACATATGGAAAAATGACAGACATTATTTTTTTTATTTTGGGTATTATTAAGCTTTAAAAATATTGAAAAGTGGATAACATTATATAAAGAAACATGTAAAAGTTTACTAAATCAATTACAAAGGTTAGGTCGGTAACATGGAAGTCGAAATAGCCTGGCAAATTTGTAATATTTAATGTAACTATATTTATTAAAAATATAAAATACAATGATAATGAAACTAACAATAATTAATAATAAAAGAAGAATCTTTTATACATATGAGAAATGAGTTTCATTCTTAAAAAAGAACAAAAAATCAGTTAATATGATAGGATAATTTATTTGATACCGTTTTCGATAAAATTACCGATAAATATTGTAATTTAATATTTATAACAACGCGTTGTTCAATAATATATAAAGAAAATTAGTTTCAAACATCAACTCAAATTAATTCAATTGTGTCGAAATTAAGAACCTCGATATTGATTATTATATACGTCAAAAAATAAAATCAATTAAATAGTAATGTACAAGATTATCACAACATTTTATAAGAAATGTTTGAACTTCTATTATTGGATATGCTCCTCTAAAACTGAAAATATTAAAAATTAGATTCTTAACAATGATTAAAACTATTTTATAAAAATACATACTATTATAATAAATAGCATTATTTTAACATTTTTATTTTAAATCAACTTGTCTTTACATGTAAGATTATTTTATTCTTAACATTATTTATACATATATTAAAAAATTAAATATAAACATAGTAATTATGACTTGTACAATTTATTTTTTATAAATTATGATATTAAATAATATGAAATTTTTTTCATATATAATATACTTTTTAATTATGGCTGAATTATTAAATATTGAATTAATACATCAATAAAAAATAATGTATATTAGATTAAAAATATGTAGTGAAATATGTGAGAAAATATAAAAGTAAACAAATATATATTTTTTTTAATCTATATTTGCATTTGAAGTACAAGGTATATTGTGTAAATGTGAATAATAAAATTTCAAAATTAAAAATCATTTAATCTACAATTAATATGATATATTTATAATATGTAATATAACTTTCTATAATAGTATATGAAAGAAATAGAATAAAATGGAATATATAAGCTCTTTAATATTAGTTGAAATATTTATATTTGGAGTTTTCATATTGTATAAAATGAAAAAATATAATACTAACTAATGTTCCTACAAAGTCTAATACACATTTTATCAATATTGAAAAAATGTTAGTTTGATAATTGAAATTTATATGAAAGTAATAAAAGAGAGGAATATTTTAATTCTAAAATGTCCAAAAATTGACTTTCCATTTTATAAAAAAAAATTATATGAAAATCTTGTGATTCTTATTACATAGAACTTTAGAGCTTAGTTTTAAAATCGTAGTGATTCGTAAAAATGAGTAACACCATTAATTTTGTTCATTTTTGAATATTTGAGCATTTTTTAGTTAAATATACTTTTTATGTTTACAAAGGAGCACTAGGTTTCACACTGAAATATTAAAAACATTTATAGTTATGGATAAATTATAATTTTATGTTAAAACAGAAATAGGTATCTTTATATGCATAGTTACCAAATAAAAAATTATTACACTTTATGAACAGGCAGTAAAGTAGATATTGAAAATAAGACTAGCACATGTAATAAAAATGATAAATGCAATTTATTAAAAATATTAATTTTTTAGTATAATTTTAATTAAATTAGTTCATGTATTATAAATTAGTCGGACTATTATAATAGCTTTCTATTTAAAAAAAAAATAATAAAATTTTATTTAAAAGTTATGGGTAAAAATTGAAGATATATTTAACAATTGTTGCTATTAATATGTATCTGAATATCAAAGTTTAAGTTATATGTACTTATATACTTATACACGTATATACTAAGTTAACTGCATAAGTATATACTTTAAAGAATAAAGTTTATGAAAGTTGAATGCAATTGAAGTACATTTGATGAGATTTATGAAATAGAATAGTCACGTGATTAAACAAGTATTATTTTATGTTTATTTCAGATATTAAATCATACAAAGGGATTTGCAATAGCTATAAACATTTGATACATTAATATTTTCATACAATTATAATTAAAATTTTATCCTTTCATATTTGAATTAATAAATCGGATTTTCGCATAACTTTTTTTTTAAACAATATAAGTATTTTTATATCTTCCATATTTGTACTATTATTTATTTGGAACTGTACAATAATGAATTACTGAATTTCAGCTCTTAAAAAAGTATCATTGAGACAGACGACTAGTAAACGTTCATACATGTATAAGTCATAGCGAAGTTAGTTATAATTATTATTATTCTAAACAGATTACTTACTTCATCTTACAGAAAAAAAACGTCAACAATATCTAAACTATGATTATATATATTTTTTTGCATTAGGATATTATTGATTCCAAATTAATTATACTAATTATGATTATATCCAGCTGTTATGATTAATGAGTTTTAATAGTGAAAAGTAGTTATATTTATCTCTGTATCATTTTATAGATGAAAATTATGTATTTGAAAATTTAAGCAGACTAAAGTAAACATCAGATTTATCAATGGAATAAAGCAGCACTGTACTTTATTATGCTTTTACCACAATGTTTTAAATTCTATTCAATTAAAAATTTATTGAAACCAGTCTTATTAAATTAACATATACAAGTTATTTTTTTTAAATGAACAGTGCAAATTGATAGTTAATATGTCCTCATAAAATTTGTAACCCTTACTAAATCAGATATTAAAAACCGCTTTAGATATTCTGTTATTGCTTTTGCAATCACATGCGAAATGATTCTTCCGAAATAATATTGTCTTTATTCTAATTATTGCATAAATTTTTCTTAATGTCTTCTTTTTAACTTATTAACTTCTTTTTATTCTTTTTAACATTTTCCGGTTAAAATTGTAGATGATATTCTTTAGTTTTTACAAAAATTTTGTTTTACAATATTTCTTGATTAATGGGTAAAGACGACTCTGCAATATTAATAAATTTTAATAAAATTAGCGTTCGTTGGTGTTATGTCAGGTTTATTCTTATTAATATACTAATGAAAAAAAGAATAGGTTTTATGAACAGTTGGAATGTTGTAATGTATATCACTGCATATAATCTTGAGGTATCTACATGATATATATTCAGTTAAATCACTTGTACATTCATTCCAGTAAAGAATTATAAAAAAAAGAATGTTTTGGCATTTACAAGTTATAAATTCTATTATATCTATTATCATTTCTGATGAAATATAGTTGAATGTATAATAGAATGTATAAGAATCATTATACGGTTTGAATGTTCGTTTAATAAAGCTAACAGCAAACTATATTGATATATTATATATAATAAAAAAAATTATAGCACCATTTGTATTAATTATTGAAAGAGAATTACACTTCTTTTTTAAATGAAAATTTTTTAAAATTTCAATAAATAGCACTTTACGTTTTTTATCTATTGTAACAACACACTGTGTACATGTAAAAATATGAAATAATCATAAAAAGGTACGCTATTAACATTTGTATCAATATAGAAAAGGCGAAAGTAGGCAGGAAATAAAAAACTAGACTTCTGTCAATTAAGTACTAGTGATAATAGTACTAGTATATCAGCTGATCATGATTTTTATATTAGGGTTTTTATAATATACACCTTGGAACATATAAGGAACATATAAATAAATACTACGAGTTGCACGAACAGCATTATCTAAAATCAGTTGTAAAGTTTTTTATTTATTGGATGCATAGATTCTTTATATTCTCGAATAATAGCAAATAAAAAATTGAAAACTCATTGCATTCATTGACTTGATTTTTTTGGCTATAAATCTAACAAATAAAAATTTATAATTAAAATGTATTGAAATAAAAATTATATATATATATATATATATACGTATATTATAAGTAAATATTAATTAAACAAAATAAACTAAAAATAGAGTTAATTCTTATTTATAATCAATAGCTCATTTTTCTCTTGTTAAAATAACCTTATACTGTTAAATTATTGTATGCAAATTGTATCTTAGAAACTCCTAACTAAATTAAAAAAATTTTAGTGTCAAATGCAATAAAATCAAACTTTATCAGATCTAATCAAATGCCATATTTTTTTTTTAATTGCAATTTATATTATTACAAATTTATGAAGAAGTTTCTAATTATATTTTATAAGAAACATAAATTAAAATAAAAATTATTACAAATAGTATAAAATAATAAATCAGAAATATTATGGTCATTTATAAATAAAATATAATCAAAATTATTTCTTATTCTTTCTGCATTATACAATGTTAAGTTTCAGAAATTAAAAATTTATTCTATTTATGTTTTTAATTTAATATAATGATTAAACCAAATTAATTTTATGTTTTCATTTATGTTTCAGATTTATCTATTTTAAAAAATCTTTTGAATACCTATAATGAAATGCGAATATAATATAGAATTTACAAGAAATAATTCCAAGAAAATGAAAGTTTTTGTATTATGTTGTCTGTTTATTATTTTACCTATTATTAATACAGAAGATATAATAGAATCAAGAAATAATATTGATGCTCCAATATCTTCATCTTCTACTTCATCACTATCATTTACATCATCTATTACTGGCATTGCAACGAGCATTGATTCTAATCCTGTAATTATAAACAATAAAATAGATCATTCTATGACACGATCTGGGCCATCTAATGTCATAAATGGTCGATGCGAGGAAATTACCATTCCCATGTGTCGTGGAATTGGGTATAATTTTACAGCTATGCCTAACGAATTAAATCATGATACACAAGAAGAAGCAGGTCTTGAAGTTCATCAATTTTGGCCTCTTGTAGAGATTAAATGTTCCACTGATTTGAAATTTTTTTTATGTTCTATGTATACACCAATTTGTTTACCAGAATATAAGGAACCACTTCCTGCTTGTAAGAGTGTTTGTGAACGTGCCCGAATGGGATGTGCTCCTTTAATGCAACAGTATGGATTTTCTTGGCCAGAACGTATGGCTTGTGAACGATTACCTAATCAAGGAGATCCCGAAAATCTTTGTATGGAACAAGATAATCGAACAAAATTACTTTCCACTGAAATTATAACACATAGTATATCTCCGGTATCTTTACCAAAGCCTACAAAATCTTCTAAGAATATTCAATCATTAAAATGTAAACCTGGCAAAAATCAAAAAAATTGTCAATATTCTCATGGAGATAAAATGAAGGACTGTACCTGTCGTTGTAGACCGCCTCTAATATCTTTAGTACCATCTACATCTGTAGAAGAAAACGATGAACTTAAAAGTTTTAATTCTTTAGGAGTTTCTAATGTAAATAAATTTATGATAACTCAAAAATTAGATGTCATAGGAATTTCTGATTGTGTATTACCTTGCCATGGAGCATTTTTAACAAACGAAGAAAAAAGTTTTGCAGCAGTATGGTTAACTTTATGGAGTGGATTATGTGCAGCAAGTACATTAGCTACGGTTACAACATTTCTTATAGATACTCAACGGTTTAAATATCCCGAAAGACCAATCGTTTTCCTTTCAGCCTGTTATTTTTTAGTTTCACTCGGATATTTGTCAAGAATTATTATTGGACACGAAGAAATTGCTTGTGATGGTAACATGTTGCGACATGGATCTCAAGGACCTGGAATATGTATTACAGTTTTTTTATTAATTTATTTTTTTGGAATGGCTTCGTCTGTATGGTGGGTTATTTTAGCATTTACATGGTTTCTCGCAGCTGGTTTAAAGTGGGGTAATGAAGCTATTGCATCATATTCCCAATATTTTCATTTAGCAGCGTGGATGGCACCAACAGCTCAAACAGTATGGACTCTTATGTCTGGTGGTGTTGCAGGTGATCCTATCGCAGGTGTCTGCACTGTAGCTCCTGAAGGAATTAGAATATTTATATTATCTCCTTTATTAATGTATCTTCTATTAGGAACAACATTTTTACTTGCAGGATTTGTAAGTCTTTTCCGAATACGCTCTGTAATAAAACGTCAACCTGGTGCAAAAGCTGATAAATTAGAAAAATTAATGATTCGTATTGGAGTTTTTTCAGTATTATATACAGTCCCAGCAAGTGCAGTGCTTGCTTGTTATTTATATGAAACGACATTAAGAAATGATTGGCTTAGTTCATTAGCTTGCCCTTGTAAACCTCGAGTAAGACCATTATACTCAATAGTAATGCTAAAATATTTTATGGCACTGGCTGTAGGTATTACATCTGGAGTTTGGATATGGAGTGGAAAAACGATTGATTCTTGGCGTCGTTTATGGAACCGATTATTTGGCAGAAATATAGATATTACAAATAATATAACAGGCACTACTGGTACAGGTATACTTGGAAATATTACCAATACTAAGGGTATTATTAACCGTTCTCTAGCTCCACAATATTCAGCAACACCAGGTCCAGGAAGTACATTATTACAGCAAAGTAGTGTTACCAGTGCCTCTCAACATCATATTCATCATCACGTACTTAAACAACCTCCACTTTCACATGTATGACGACAACAATTGGCGGAACTTGAAGTAAATACTACTTGCGATCATCAAGAAAGACCTTCCGCCTTAAGTAATTATGGGCCCATTTAGCCTACTTTTCAGACTATTATAACGCAACAGTTTTTCTAAGATCTCATACATCGATAAAAACTTTATTTATTCTAGTTCATAGAATAACTTCCGAGTGTATACACACAATTAAAGTATAAAATTTAATGCTATAGTATGAAAATCTCATATTTATTATTATATATCTATTATAATGTGTTTACATAAGCCACACGTATACACATATACATGCTCAAGCACACACGCGCGCGCACGTGCGCACACACATACACAACATGTATATAAAACACGTTAAAAGTATTTCAGTTATAATATCCATTGTTCTTAATTATAATTTATATAGTCACTGTAAGTACAAAAATCGTTTTGATAAGTAATTTTGTATTTTGTTTAATTTATAATATACAATTAAATTTTAAAATAAAGGTAAATACAAGTTCTATTTGATAAATTACTACATAATAACTTAATAAAATTAAGTTAGCTGCTTAACATGATAAAAATATAAGAATAAATTTTGTATTTATTTAGTAATAAAATTATAAACAATTCTATAAGAAGAGTAATTTCTATTTATATTTATATCACATAATAATGCTTAGTTCTGAAACATTTTAATTTATTTTATTTATTTTAAAATAAATAAAAGATATCTGCAGATTAAATCTCTATAAATAAAAGATTATCTACAGATTAAATACGTTGTAGCTTTTCACTAGAAAACTCAAATTCACGATTCTCTACTCCAATCCATACACTAGGTAATTTATTCTATATTATATCTTAATAATAATAATACTAATTTTATTATATTATAATTTTTTTTATAATTATAAATTATAATATACATAAAAGTATAAAATATTTGTAAACCAAAGTGAATGAATATAAACTAATATTGTAATAATTTTTTATAAAATTCACAGAAGTTATTTATTTAAATTAAAATAAAAGAAATTTGATAGAATCAATTAAAATCAGTTATGAAAAATTTATAGTAGAAAATAGAAAATATAGATATTGAATTATATTTAAGAATTCTAGTCGTTCTAAAAATTGAATATACTCTGTATCAAGCAGAAAAATATTAAATTTTTGTATTAAATAAATCTATTTTATCAATTTTATAAAAAGTATTCTTAATATATACGCTTTTTAATGTTATTTTATACCACCATTTTTATAGGTTTTTACTGTAATTTGGTAGATAATACTCATTGAAACATAATTTTTTTTTTTATACAAACGAAATAATTAATTAAAAATACATATATAAAATGATAAACTATTAATCGTACTACAGAAGATTTTAACAATATAAAATTATAAAGTAGTTATGGTAATTTACAGTAATATTCATATTCATTTAGCGTATTTTAATAAATTAAATCATTTAATATACACCATATACACACGTATTATAAATTGTATATCGTTTTTTTAAATTTATTAAATTTATGTTCGTGTAATCCATTTACTATATTAATAAACTCGGGAATAAACATATCTTAATAGTTTAAACTTTAACTCGTTTAAACATTGTTATAAAACCTATGCAAACCTAAAAGTATATAAGTAATTGGTTTTAATTCAATTGATGTAATTGAACATAGTTATATTGTAGATTTATATAATCATTAATTGAAATTCAAATCTCTTATTTCCAAATTACTTATTATTTCATTACATCCTTTTTTTAAATAAATCAATATTTTTTAACAAAGTATAATTAATTTCATTTGTCTGATAACTAAAACAGATAGATTTGACGATTTATTAATAATATTTACAAAACATTGCTTATGTAATATACGTGTTTAAGATTTTAATTAATCAAACCTATCTATTATTAATTACATTAATAAATTCAAATTTATATTAGTTTTTATAAGAATCTTCCATTGAATTATTTTACCAATACCAAAAAGATATATTAAAAAAATTAATTCAATAGTACTTAGTTTTTAAAAGAATTTTGAAAAAATTTCAAGAAAGTTTTTTATTGATCTTATATTATCGACTTTTATAGAAAAAAAAGAACAATGCGATTTATTTTTCATTAATATTTATCAGTAATGATTTTTGTAACTAATAATTAATCATTAATAATTTAAATAATAAAATTTCATACATTCTTTAATTAATAACATATGTTCAATTATTTAACAATTACAACTGTCATCTTAAGATTAGTAATAGTATTATTACACTACGAATAAATTAAAAAAAAAAAATTTTCTTCAATTTGGTAAAATTTTGCACGCGCAATAGTAATTTCTAGACATGTCCATACATACGAAAAAATAATTAAAAAATGAAATTATTATATAATTAATTATAAATTGTTTGTGAAGTATTTAAAAATAGGAAATTAAAAAAAACCTAATTTAAAAAGATTTAACAATTGTACCGATTATATACTTCAATAAATTTTTAGACCTATTTTTTAACGATATAAACAAAAGATTTTATAAAATTATTTGATGAAAAATAAAAGATATTTTTGTAAAAAAAATAAATCAATATTTAATTAGAATACATACTAGGTGGAATTCTTACATTATGTTAATATTGTAAATAGTCATGCGATCAGCTAAAATATTAATTATGATTGAAAAAATTATTTAAATACAAGTGTTTTAATCAAAAGAACTTTTTAACCGAGGCACTATAATCTTATGATGTACACTAACTTTATCATTATTATTACCTAAATAATATAATTTCAACTTATTAAATGTTATTTATTACAGGGGTTTGAACATTAAATGAAAGATAAACATTTATGTAAAACTTTTATTAATTTGAAAGACAGATAATACAAACTTATTTTATGGATTTTATACTTTATTATTCATAAAATATGATATTTATATCTAATATAAATATCTTTTTTTAACAATTTTTATGAACAAAAACTTGAAATTTGCTAAATTAATTCAAATAATGTTAGGATAAATCTAATATGTATTTCTAATACATTGATTTTCTTATATAAATTAAACTTAACGAATATAGATACAGTCGGGTTTCAATGTTTTATTTTGTACTTTACACATAATTTAGATATGTAAACTTATTACATAGTTACATTCAAATTGTGCAATAGTATAATGTATAAATAATTGTTAAAATTAATCATCTTTTTTGTATAAGGTTTATACAAATGTAATTATATAATAGTGAATATGAATAAATAGTATATTTAGCTAGTCATATTAGTAAGAAATAAATTGTATTGAATATATTCATAGAATAAGTTACTTACTCTTTGGCATAAGTTGTAATTCAGTCTAATTTTTGTTTAGTGTTTACTAAAATGTTTGAAATTATTTCTTTAAGTTGCTTAATTAATTCAAATATTATAAATATTTTTACATTATTTAAACTGTATAAACAAAAATTTTAATATTTTATTGTAATTAAGTTAAGAGTTTTCAAAGTTTGTATATTACTTTATTATATTATTTATAATTCTTGAAATAGCTACGTTACAATTCAGATGTAATTGAAAATTTATTTTTCATCTTAAAATTTTTTGTATTAAAAACTTGTAATTAATTTTGCTATATAATTAAAAATATTATTTTTTCGTTATGTTAATAATATTGTATTTTTTGTAATAAATTCTTCTAATTTTATTATAATTGGTAACATGTTCAATAAAAAAATTCAATAAACTGATTAATTTAAAATATTAATTGTATAACATTTCCATTTTTTAATTATTCAAACATAACAATACTACCAATTATATATTATATTACGAAAATTCTATACAAATACTTCATAGAATAAGTACTTTCTAAAAAGCTTATATTTAAATGATATATGATCAATGACCATTAATAGGCACTAATAAAGCACAAAGCATCAAAAAAACTTATTGTAAATAAGTCTTAAACAAATAGAATTAAATTTTGTATTAAAGTTATAATCTTGATTTTAATTGGAATATGAATTAATAATTCATAATTGTTCATTTCTTATTATTAATATACATTTAATAAATATAATCTAACTTATGTTTTTGCAACATTGTATAAAAGTAAATATACCTCAATGATTCTATAATATAAAAATTAGTCGTTTTTAATATTCATACTTCTAAATTAAAAGTTATGAAATGAATTTGTATTTTTTTAACGAATTTTTTACTGTTACTTAATCTTAAAAATTAAAAATGAATTAAAAAAACTACTTCAGAATCAACTGTAGTATAAGTGGATTAAATATATGAACGGAGCAACTGAAGAATTTTTTTCCACCTGTACATTTTTATCTAAAATATGTCTCTTTAAAATATCATGACAATTTTAATTGTAAAATTAAACTTACAAATGAATTAGGTTGTGTATTAAAAATTATGCTTTTTTATTTTTATATGTGAATATTGCATATAGACATTGGAGAAGTTGGCATATATATTAAAGTAAGTATAATTTGGTAACTGACTGTAAGTAATATGCGGTGTAATAGCTAACGTATAAAGATCTCTTATAATATATAAAATATTCCTGATCTCTATTAGTTATAAATTATATTTTATTTAACAGTCATATTAACAAGTCGAATTGTAAGTGTATATATTCTTGGACTATTTAGATTATTTCTCCGCTGTTACATATTTATAAGGTATTTTTTTTTTAACATGAATTTAATTATTTCAAGTACTGCGAAGCAACTTAACTACATAAAGTATTTAATAATTTAAATTTATTTTAATTAGATTTTTTATGAACGTGAATGAAAATATTTTAAATATAACATAGTCTCAATATATATTTATTGATATACATAGCGTAATTTAGAAATATATTAAAAAATAATTTTTTATAGAAAATGGATATTTCAATCATTATAAAATTGATAACGTGCAACTATAAAGATTACAAAACAAATTTTGGTGACTTACAAAGCTATTCAATGATTTTATACAAATTTTATATATTAATGATAATATTTTGGTATGTAAAAATACCTAAAATTATTACTTTATATAAGTTCATAACCTACGTTCATTTATAATAACTTAAAATCTAACATCATAATAAAACAATATTATTAATGAATAATATATTATTTATATTAAATAGTTTCATATGAACATTAATTGATGAGGTCAAATTAATAGACTTTGAAATATATATTTTATCCTATATATTAATAACAGATCTTTTATTTAAATATTGCCGATAAAAATTTCTTTTTTAATATTGAATATTTCTGTACTATGGTTTACGAGTTTCAATATTTAATAGCAATAACAAATGTCTAAGAACAATTTTTTGATTTTTTAATCATTTTTATAAAAAAAATTGATGTCAATATCATAATTAATTTGAAACTTTATATTTTTGGAGTAAAGACTTTTTTTTAATAATATCATTTAAAGACATCGTT